TTTAATAACTTTTAGTGTTTAGAGTGTTATTGAAAATCAGGTTGCATATAACTGTGGACTGTAAAATGTATCTTACGGTCTTATGGATAATAATGTTCTTTTTTTTTTTTCCAAGTAAAATAGCAACATTATTTCTTGAAAAGCATTAGAAGCATTGCAGATCTCTTCAACCCATGATACAAGTATTGCTTCCTAATATTCTCAGAGCCTCTGAGGGAAATGCCAGGTGTTATTTTTCATCTTGGGTTCTGCAAAACTGGAAATGGAAGAGATGAAAGGAACATCTCGGGATTTGGGAAGCTTTGCTTTTGTGTCTGGGTTTAGAGTTGAATAACCTTCACTGGAAAAATGGATGTTCTTGTTATTAATTGTGTTTTATTTAACATGAATGCAATTATTAGGTCTCATACAGGAGCATTTGCATTTCGGGGAAGGAAAGCAGCTTTTTTTTATTCTTCCTTTCTCTGTGTGTTAAAGGATGCTTTTTGCACAGCACCTTTTTTGCTAAATCTGCTCTTTTCCCCCATAGGATGCATAGTGGGAGAGGCAGTGAGATGTGGAGGAGGAGAGGGAGCAACAGGATTGACATTTAGGTGAGGAAGTACTTGTGATGTAAGAGAAGTGGGACATGCACACAGGCTAAATAGAAAAAGCTGACCAGATGTTTAGGTTGACTGGATGTTACCTGTTGATGTATTGGGTTTGGTGGCAGGAGAGGGAGAGCTACAGAGGTGACTTCTGCAAGAACCCACCAGAAGCTTCCCCTATGTCTGATAGAGTCATAGAGTGGCTTTGGTGGGCACATGGTGTCCAGTCAGAGTCAACCCAGTTGACTAGTGGGTTGACTAGTCAACAACAGTTTACTAATGATTTTGGGAACGTTACTTTAACGAAAAAAATTTGGCTGTAAGTCCTTTTGGGGACTTGTAATAATGAGGAATTCTAGGGAAGTTAGAGCAAGAAAATGTTGACTATTTTGAGAAATATATCTCAATTCAAGTTTGAATTCTGTGGAATTTAATGAAGAACCTTTCTAATTGCTGTTGCAGCATCAGTAGGTATTAGAACATAATTTTGTCAGCAGAAAGTTGTTTTTCTGGAAACAGCCATTAAGGAGTCATACACTGGTCTGCACTGGATTCTGTGGGCAAAGCCAGTGACTGCTAATGAGCTCTGTCTGGGAGCCAGGAAAGCAACAGGGAATGGAAAATATCAGTAGAAAAAGAGAAGCAGGAAAAAGGGAGCAGACTGCTTATTGAAGGGAGGCTTTCTAAGCCTAAAAAAATATTAGTTTAAAAACAATTTGAATACTTGGAACTCAGTGCTTCACTTTCTTTCCCTCAAGGACAATGAAACTTGATAAAGTTATGGGAGAAAAAAGATCCTCAAAGGTGGAATCCCATTTAGGTGTTTGGGAGCTGCAGGAGGATTTGAATGAATCTGATGTGCTTCTTAAAAATAGTGTATGTGCATGAATGTTCAAATGGTTCCTTTACAGGTCATTTATATTTACTTCAGTCTCCAAAAGGTCCATCTTTAAGACAGCAAAATAGAGATGGAGAGGCAATATGGAAGTGTGCCCTAGTGGAATAGAGGAAGCCTCAGGAAATTTCCTTCAGACCACAGTGTTTTCTTTCTCCTGGTTTCAGTTCATCGTTCTTCTTTTCCATTGTCCTTTCCCTTTTTGCCTCTTTAAAAAAAAGTTCCTTTTCACCAAAAGTCATATGAATACTGTGAAAGGAAGAGACATAGTTTGAGTTAAGTATAATTTCATTTTTAGGCACGCTACATGTGTATGATCATAGAATTGTAGGTTTGGAAGGGACCTTCGGAGATCATCTAGTCCAACCCCCCTGCCAAAGAAAGTCCACCTAGAGCAGGCTCGACAGGAACATGTCCAGGGGCATTTTTAATATCTCTGGAGACTCCACACCTTCTCTGGGCAGCCTGTGCCAGTGCTCTGGCACCTTCAAAGTAAAGAAATTTTTCCTCATGTTGAGATGGAACTCCCAGTGTTCCAGCTTGTGTCTTTTGCCCCTTGTCCTGTCACCAGGCACCACTGAGAAGAGCCTGACCCCATCCTCTTGATACTCACTCTTTAGATATTTATAATCATCGATAAGATTCCCTGTCGGTCCTCTCCAGGCTAAACATACCCAGGTTTCCTCATAAGAGAGGTGCTCCATTCCCTTGATCATCTTTGTAGCCCTCCACTGGACACTTTCCAGTAGTTCCCTGTCCTTCTTGAGCTGGGGGGCCCAGAACTGGACACAGTGCTCCAGATGTGGCTTCCCCAGGGCAGAGTAGAGGGGGAGGATGACCTCCCTCGACCTGCTGACCATGGTCTTTTTAATGCACTCCAGGAGACCATTTGCCTTCTTGGCCACGAGGGTGTATTGTTGGCTAATGGTCAATTAGTTGTCCACCAGGACTCCAAGGTCCCTCTCTACAAAGCTGCTCTCCAGCGAGTTAGCCCCTCGCCTGTCCTGGTGTATGGGATTACTCCTCCCCAGGTGCAACACCCTACACTTACCTTTGTGGAATTTCATCAGGTTCCTCCCTGCCCGACTCTCCAGCCTGTCCAGGTCTCGCTGGATGGTGGCACAGCCTTCTGGGGTGTCAGCCACCCCTCCTAGCTTTGTGTCAGCAGCAAACTTGCTGAGGGTCCCCTCACACTCTGTCCCCTCATCCATGTCATTGATGAATATATTGAAGAGGACCAGACCCACTACTAACCCCTGGGGGACACCACTTGTTATGGACCTCCAACTGGACTCTTCACCGCTGATCCCAACCCTCTGAGCTTTGCCACTCAGCCAGTTCTCCATCCACCTCACTGTCATCTAACCCACGCTTCCTAAGCTTACCTATGAGGATGTTCTGGGAGACAACGTCAAAAGCCTTGCTGAAATCAAGGTAGACAACGTCCATTGCTCTCCCTTCATCCACCCAGCCAGTCATTCTATGGAAGAAGGCTATCAGATTGGTTAAGCATGATTTCCTCTTGGGTGAATCCATGCTGGCCACTCCCGATGACCTCTGTTTCTTCTACGTGCTTGGAGATGACATCCAGGATGAGTAGTTCCACAACCTGCAAGCGAGCTGGCTAGATAGAAGCAATGGCCTTTCCTTCCTTACTCTGTTTAGTGTCTCACGCGCTTTCCAGATGAGTTCATCCAGAGGGATGCTGTGTCCTGACTGCGGGCTTACTGTGGAGAAGGAGAACCTGAAGCTAAAGAGGCTTGGGAACTGCCAGGATAAGCTGCTTGTGGAAAGATTTGGAAATCCTGCTTCAGCAGGGGAGTTGGACTAGATGATCTCTATGGCCCCTTCCAACTCTAAAATTCAGTGAAATTCAGTGAAATTTCAGTCTCCGAGTCAAGGGTGACTGTACTGTAGAGACTTCCCTCCCAAAGAGTGCTGGAAATGATCAGCTCTATTCCTGAAGAGTTTTGGTTTTTTTATATATATATATATACATAGAAAATATCTGCTGCTCAGATCTAATTAGGCTTGCAAACACCTGTTATCCCAGATTGGGATTCATAACTAATAATGAAGTTGTTTCTGTAGGTTTGTAATATCTGCTGCTCTTTTCAGTTCCAGTGGAAAATGATTGAGATACTTAAGAGGAAATGTGAGAGCTTTCAGTTGTTATTTTTTTAAATCAACCTCCAGAAAGAACACTTCCACCTAATTCTCAGTTATTAGTTGACTTCAAAGTTGTTTATCCCCATTATTGCAAAATTAGTTGGTTTTGAAGATTTACTAAAGAACACCTATTCCTCTCACCCACTTAAACTCATTTCCCAATTCTGCCCTACTCATGGCTTCAGCATTTTGTTACAAAGGTTTGGTGGGGGAGAGTATGTAGTATGATTTTTTTCTCCTTATTCATTGAATTATTATTAATATCTACATTATATGATACTGCTATTCATGTGAGCTGTGCAGGATATCATTTAACGCTTCCTAAGGTTTGTTGTCAGCAGTTCAAACCGCCAGGCTTTGTGTTGTGTCCTGTGTTCCCTTTGGGTCCTCGAGCATTGTAAGAAACCTGTTATTGTTTCTTATGTGCAGATTTTGAGAAGAAGCTTTATAGAATCATAGAATCATAGAATTGCCCAGGCCGGAAGGGACCTCCAAAGATCAGCTAGTCCGACCCCCCCGCAGTCAGCAGGGACACCCCCAACTAGACCAGGTTGCCCAGGGCCTCATCGAGCCTCTCCTTGAATATCTCCAGGGAAGGGGCCTCAACCACCTCCCTGGGCAACCTGTTCCAGTGCTCCACCACCCTCACAGTGAAGAACCCTCTCCTCATCTCCAGTCTAAATCTGTTCCCCTCCAGCTTGAAGCCATTGCCCCTCGTCCTGTCACTGCAGGCCTTTCTAAACAGGCTCTCCCCAGCCTTCCTGTAGGACCCTTCAGGTACTGGAAGGCTGCTATTAGGTCTCCCCGGAGCCTCCTCTTCTCCAGGCTGAACAACCCCAGCTCCCTCAGCCTGTCCTCGTAGCAGAGGTGCTCCATCAGGTGCTCCCTGATCATCCTTGTGGCCCTCCTCTGCACCCTCTCCATCAGGTCCATGTCCTTCTTATATTGAGGGCTCCAGACCTGCACACAATACTCCAGGTGAGGTCTCACCAGAGCAGAGTAAAGTGGCAGAATCACCTCTCTGGACCTTCTGGACCTGCTGGCAACGCTTCTTTTGCTGCAGCCCAGGATGTGATTGGCCTTCTGGGCTGCAGCTGCCCACTGCCTGCTCATGTCCAGCTTCTCCTCCACCAGCACCCCCAAGTCCCTTTCTACCTCCGTAGCATTACAGTGATTCTGTAATGTTGATACATGGTGAATCTTAACATTTGCATTTAGGGGCTCAGATCCCTCTCCTCACAAGCTAACGATTCTAGGGATCACTCGGAGAACTCATGCGTTGTGACAGTCCCGTTGTTTGCTTTTTAGTCCATTTTTTAAAAATAATGATTTCTGTTGCTGCTTTCCAGCGTAACAAATGGCAGCGCAGTGCGTGACGAAGGTGGAGCTGACTGTGTCCTGCACCAATCTCTTGGACAAAGATGTTGGTTCCAAGTCAGACCCACTGTGTGTGCTCCTCCAGAACACCAGCGGTCAGCACTGGTATGAGGTACCGTGTGGTTCTTTTCTTGTATCTGCTAAAAACACTCTTAACTTGTTGAGCCTTTTAAAACACTGGAGCATATGATTTCATTAAAATATTTTAATTATATACCAGCACCTCTGAAAACTTCTCATTAGATAATATCTGTAATCGTTGTACAGGTAGCACAGTAATAGTCAGTTTCTGATAAATACTTAACACCTGTCTGATTTGTAGCACTGCTCCCCCAGCCATGTCTGGGCCAAGAGAAGTCTTAAATGTGCTTTTATCAATCCAGTGCTCCAAAACTAGGATCTCATCCTGCATTTGACAGTTCTGCCATTTGAATGTTGGGCTTCCTGTTCAGGAGCGGATACTCCTTACGGGGAGCAAAGAAAAACCAGTCCTGGAGTATCTCTGACTTATAGCAGTGGGATTTGTAATGTAATAAGGTTATTTATATTTGATGAAGGGTTTGTAGGAAGATATGGGTTTATACTTTATACTAAGAACTTTTGAAAGTCTTTGATTTTTTTTTTTATTGGTTTTTTTTGAGTGCTTGTTAGGCTGATGAAATACTGGATAAAGTGATATCTTTCTAATTGCAGGTTGATCGCACAGAAAGAGTTAAGAATTCCTTGAACCCAAAGTTTGCCAAAAAATTCTTAATTGATTACTATTTTGAGCTTGTTCAGAAACTTAAATTTGGAATATATGACATCGATAACAAAACCTTTGATCTGAGTGATGATGACTTCTTAGGAGAATTTGAATGTACACTGGGACAAGTAAGTATGCCGATGATTTCCCTTAGGGTTAGGAAAATATAAATTAATGCCTCCTGGGGGAGGCTGATGTTGTGTTTATAAATGTTGTGTTTATAAATCTGTTTGCTAAAGCTATTTATGAAACATGGCTGCATATGTTTAAATGGTACAGAACAATTTGGATTTGGAACTTCAGCTATTATCTTTGTCCATGTATGTGTATCAAGTTACTACAAGACACTTTATTTCATATTGCTCTTGAAACTCTGCATATGTTCATCTGTGTATGTACTTTTAAAATTGTGAAGTGCATCAAGCATTACCTATTTATTTATAGGAGATCATGGGAAGTAAACGTAATGCTGTCGTCTTCATGAAGGAAACATTCCTAAAATGAAAGTACCTCACTATCTTATTTAATTCCTTTGAAAATCTAATAAATTGTGCTAATAATACTTCATACTCAAATTTTGTCTTGGCAGATAGTTTCTAGCAGGACTCTAACAAAACCATTAGTACTTAAAAATGGCAGACCTGCTGGAAAAGGAAGTATTACGGTAAGACAATTAAGACAATAAATCCCTTTAGCTTTTATCTTTCTATGTTTTTGTGTTTGGTGGTTTTTTTTGTTAGTAGCTTGAACTAATGTGTCACTAGTGTGTCACACGAACTAGTGTGTCTAATCTACAGTGCTGTAAATATTTTTTTGGTCATCTAAAAGGAGATCAGCCCACCCTCTGTATCTATAAGTCTCATTGTGTCCATCAAAATAATTAGAGCATCCAATGTGCTCCTCTTTGGGTAGTATCTTTAATTGTCAGTGTCGGCTTCTAATGAAATTCCAGTGTCAAATCAAATTGTTCCTCTTTCCCTCGACCCCATTTTTTGAATGCTTTATTTGTGAGCAAACATGATTCCTTTTTTTAATGGACCTGTCGTAGGAGTGTTGTGAATATGAGAAAACTATGTAGTGCTTGAATACAAAAGAGTTTTTGGGGTTTTTTTGTGTGTGTGTGTGTTTACCTATCTAGATTACGGCAGAAGAAGTGAAGGATAACAGGGTGGTTGTATTGGAAGTAGAAGCAAGGAAGCTGGACAATAAGGTATTTAAATGATTGCTGTTTCTTTGATAAAGTAGCAAAATCAGAATCTTTTCAAAAGGAAAACATTAAAATGTTACTTCTTAATTTTGCTGTAATAATTAAATTCATTAAGATTTCTTTTACGCTGAAGAAGAAATTGAAGAAAGATTTCTTCAAAGATTTCTTCATGGACTGTTTTGAAATGAATTACAACATCTTTCCAAGACAGACAAGTGCATTGCAGGGATATTCTGCCAATAACATGCTTCCATTTAAATGTAAATCTTTACATTTAATCGTAAATGTAAAGCATTTTTTGGTATATCTGTTGATTTGAATAGTTGTAGAAATTATTACCTGTTAGCTCTCTGAAATAAATGGTAAAGAATATAGTTGGAGTGTATAAATCTGTTACAGTAAATATTTTGGGACTTGCTAAAAATACTGTATTTAGGAAGACTTTTAAAAGCAAAAATTTAAAAAAAAAAAAAAAGGAAAAAAAGTCATCATTTTTCCCAGTCATTTAATGATATGTTCTTTAACTGGATGAAATCCTTAGTTTCCAAACTATCCATCATAGTACTTACTAGTATGAGTATTCTTTTGCTTGAACTGCCAGGTATTTAGCATGTGGACACTGCACAACTTTTGTCCTAACTTGAAGGACAAGTTGCATTTTCACAGGTGGTAATAGATAGACTTGCATTTCTGCACATAAAGCTTTTGTTCCCTGAATATGTAGTTGACTTTTTGTTAATCTAAGTGTGTTTTAACTAGCAGTTAATGGTATTCATGCCACAGGCTGTTCTGGGATAATTACATGTTCTTTAAATGCAGGATTTTTTTGGAAAGTCAGATCCTTATCTGGAATTCCACAAGCAGACTGGAGATGGAAACTGGGTGATGGTTCACAGAACAGAGGTAGGATATTTTCAGTCTACACCCTAGAGATGAAGGTTATTTGATTTCCAGTGTGTGGCAGCACTAGGGGTACAGTGCCTTATGAAAAGAAGAGAATGGTCTGGGAGTTGACATACAGACCGGTTAGAAAACACCTTCCACTGAATTTCTGATAGGACAGGATTCTAATTCTGGTTTATGCCACTAGAAAATACTTTTTTAATTTTCTTGTGTTTTTTTTTCCCCCCCCCCTGCACCCAAGCTTTCTGCAATCAAAGAGAGCAATTGTTTTGAAAAGGTGCTGCATGCTCCTACAGGAACATTTGTCTCAGCGCTACTCTGAGGTTAGAACATGGGCATTCCTGTGACTGTGCTGTCCTTATGTCAGTGTCACCTAGCTGTACCCTTTACTAATTAAAGTAATTATGCCAAATGCTTGCAGAGCAAGGGCAAGACAAGGGTAATGCTGAGTGAGGGAAACGTGCTTGAGCAGCACCAGCCTTCCGTGCAGGAGAGGGTGCCCAGGTCCTCTGGCAGCAACCACAGGGTTGGAGTAGGCTCAAAATGTCTCAGTGTAGTGGAAGTTCAGGTCCTGAAGCTCTGAAGTCCTGAAGGATTGAAGAAATACAAATCCTTTTTGTGTCAGATCTATAAAAAAAGTTTGTTAGGTGGTTCATCTGCATAAAATGTATATTTTCAGTGAGGATTTCGGTCATCTTCAATTCTGGTAACAAATCCAGAATTTGCAGATCCAGCCCAAAACAGGCTGAAGGATTAGTTCTTTGTTACAGATTTTAAAAACCTTTTTATGTTGTTATTATTTACTCTTTTCATTTTCAAACAAGGGATTTCTTTCTCTGAACTCCTGCAGTGCTGGAAGTATTACTATTACTAGGTATTATTAAGTGTGTAGTTCCTTATGCTTTATTAGATCATTATTTGGTGTGTTGGATAAATTACAGGCACTTTCCAGTTGACAAATTCTGAAGATTGTTCAGTATTGTTCTTTAATATCATTTATTTAGCGTTCAGCTTGAGAGACTGCAGTAGGGTGTCTTTTCTTAACTTCATGCACTGTTTCTGCTTAACTATACCATGAATTTCTTGAGGGCATATTTCAGTAATTGGCATTTCAGAATAAGTATAAAATAGAGTTGTAATCTCCAAAGCATTGATGTATTCAGAAATTTCAATGTAATCTTACTGCATGTTTTTTTGGTAGGTCATGCTTTTATGTGTTTGTGTGTATGTATATATGGGTGTGCTTATTAAAAAAATAATCAATATTTATGTAACAATGAAGAAATATTTTTTTTGCGTTATAATATCTGAATGATCCAGAAGATTGCAGTGCAGTCTAGAAAAATGCAGTTGTAAGATCCCATCTCTTTTGGACAATGCTATTTTCATCTTAGGAATGTTTAGTTTGTGACAGTATAACCAGTTACGATGACTTTCCACTCTTGTGATTTAATATTATTCCGTTTGTTTGTTTTTAAACAGGTAATTAAAAACAACCTGAATCCTGTTTGGAGGCCCTTTAAAGTCTCTCTCAATTCTCTGTGTTACAGTGACATGGATAAGTCAATCAAGGTAATGGATATGAAATGTGTGTGTCCACTAAAAAAAATGGATACCATATGTAGCAACTTTTCTCCCCAGATAAAACTGCAACTTTCTGTCAGGAGGGCAACCAAACCTGTGAAGTGCTGGTTTCATGGGTACTGATCTCCAGCTCTTTGGATCTTCAGATCTTACCTTGAATAAATGATGTTTAAGGGCTGAATATTTTTCTTCAGGAATTACTTTTAGGAAAAGCTAATCAACCAGACAAAATGTCATTTATAAGCTATTATGAACATCTTAGGAACCTGATATTTTAGCATTTGAAAGAAAACTCAAATAAAACAAACCACTCTACTTGTCATTCTTCCTCTAGGAAGGAAAAACGAGAGCATAATCTGCATGTGCCAGGTATTAGTCATGGGGCTTGAGGCATTCCTGGGAAATGCTTAACAGCCACAGGGATCTAGGTGTTACAAGTGTTACAAGCACCTGTATGGATTTAAATACATAATTATAGAGCAGACTAATGAACAACTTTACAAGCCCAGAACCTGCTTCCCTTGCTACTTCTGTATTTGTTTTTTTTTTTTCTTCTCATTTCTTTCTGCTTTTCCCCAAAATATCTGTGACAGCTCTTACATCTTATACTGTAAATGTATTTCTCTTTTTCAGTAAACTGCCATACTAAAACTATAGACCATTGATTAAAATACATCTATTAAGATGGAGTTATCCTCAGCTCTGTCATCATTTTAATAAAGTCTGTTCTTTGGACTCTTACCTCAGAAGTGTAGGTTTATTTCCAGAGGAAATAGATTTTTACTTAAAGTTGTTACAGACTTGGAGACAGATGGTAGGATTATGTGTTAACTTAGAAATCCAGGAGTTATCACTTAAAACATTAAAATGCAAACAGAATTGTATTATAATGTTGTTGAAGGATTAAACAATACTTCTAATACTTTTATATGCTCACAGTTGCATACGTAATGGGCTATTTATCATAGTAAGTAAAACCACCTATTTTTCCATAGTGAGTAGCTTTTCACCTATTTCATGGCTTAGTTTGTGTATCCCCAGCAATGCACAAACCAAGTTCATTCTTTCTCTTCTGGATTTATTGCTATATTCCATGTGAGTGTGTTTGCAGTCAGTGAAGTTTTTCTGTGTTGAAAATGTGAGCCTTTCATCCAGAGCAGACATGTCTAGTTCTGCTGGGAAACATATAAATATATATATATATGCAATTTTATCACATGGTTCCCTCACACTACTGTGTGTCCAGGAGAGCATATGTGAAACAAAAGAAATATTTGTCTTACCTGGAGTAAATATCCAAAATTGGCTTAGATGGGTCAAATACTGTGAAGTTTGTTTTGATTCCAAATAATGGGAGCTCCTACTTGGACTCTTGATTTATTGTTGTTATTATTTATCATCAGTATTGTTATTACTATTGAATTATTTTCTTTTTTTTTGCTGTGATTTGATTAATTTAATTTAGCTAGCATGTCTGTGTTGCTAAACTGAAATAAAATGTCTGAAGTGGATGGCATCAGCCTGTGCTATTATAGATAAATACCTTTCTACTTAGAAAGGCAGTTGGGACACTGTCATAAGGTGAGCTTTTGAAAACATAACAATTGAGGATACTGTAACATTAAAGTAACAATGGTAAAATAATCCTTGCTCCAACTGATAGTTTCTCAAACAGAAATTAAGTCTATTTTTCACTTGTTCTGCCGTTTTGGTGTGTTGGAGTGTTAAAAGATGAGTTGATTGAATAGTAAAAATTAGCATTAAACACTGAATACAGGAGAAGAGGGATTTTTAGTTAACATTCAGATCCGTGATGCGTGGATCATAGTGACTGTTAAAATTTGCTACTCTTAAAAAGAAATAAATTCAAGTCTTGTTTCTAGATTTAGGGCTGAACCTTCATATACTCATAAATTTTGACTTGATGATTAATATAAAAGTATTAATAAAACTCTCTTGATTGCTGAATAACTGATTTTTAGCTGGATGCTCAGAGATGGTTAAATTTCCTTAATACCTCCAAAAAACTAATCCAAGATGACAGTAAAAAATCATACACGTTGTTTTTTTACTCCTTTCTGACACCTCCTCTCCCCCAAAATGTAGTTCAGTATAACTGATGTTATCCCCTCCGGTGGGACCTGACGCTGCTTAATATTCTTGTCTCCACTTCAGTGGAAGATGTGATCTGAAACTGGGTATATTGCCTTTTATCTTAATCTGTAATTTTTAGCTGCTGCTCTAGGCAATTCGAAGACTGCAAAGTGAGAAAATTTCCATAATATAAGAGATCTAGGAATGCTTTGGATGTCCAAGTTTGCCTTAATTAGTAATGAGATCGTAGGGTTTATTGCTTTTATAGGACTGTTTCTGTTCCTAATGCTGAATAATGCCTCATTTTAGGTTGAGTGCTATGACTATGATAGTGATGGGTCTCATGATCTTATAGGAAGCTTTCAAACAACGATGTCAAAACTGAAGGAAGCATCTCGGTCCTCGCCTGTAAGTCTTACATAGTTTAAGCTGCCTTTGTTTTTGATAAGCTGTTTCACTCTCTTTTTTTGGAAAAAAACTGACATTACTTGACTTGCTGGTATCAAAGTTGTGTTAGGATACACCTTAACGATGCTGCTGTAGTTGAGGCAGACTCAGCATTCACATTATGCATCCACTTTCATAGAATCACAGAATCACATGGGGTTGGAAGGGACCTCTGGAGATCATCTAGTCCAACCCCCTGCCAGAGCAGGTCCACCCAGAGCAGGTTGCACAGGAACGTGTCCAGGTGGGATTTGAATGTCTCCAGAGAAGGAGACTCCACCACCTCCCTGGGCAGCCTCTTCCAGGGCTCTGCCACCCTCAAAGTAAAGAAGTTCCTCCTCATGTTTAGGTAGAACTTTTTATATTCAAGTTTGTGCCCATTTCCTCTTGTCCTAGATTTCCTAGGATTAATATCTTGGTTACAGTTTTTAATATTACATACCTGAAAGCCCACCTGTCAGCACAAATGAATTTCACTAATGATAAAAAATGCAGAAATCAAAAAATTCAGTGTTAAAAGGTAGAATGCAGTTAAAAGGCCAAAGCTTATAATATTTTTTTTCAGGTTTTACTCAGTCCTTTATGTCAAGTATGGCACTTAGCAACTATCATGCATACTTTAGTGAATATGAAAAAATTCAACATTTATTCCACTGCAGAAAAATACAGCTGAATGTGTTAACGTTAGGTGGCTCTTCTTTAAAGTGAAATTACCCTTCTTCTTATGAACTGTGACAATTTGCAAACCTTTTAATAGGCAAGGTTTACATTTAGAAGAAGGAAGGTGGCATAGCAACCTTAACATAACAGCCTTTGTTGCGTGGATGTGTGTGTTATCAAAATATTTAACCATCTTTTCATTTAATTCTGTAAAACCTGAAGAACTGCTCCTGCATTAGTAATAACAGGGTATATTGAGTGCCTGCTTGTAGTTTTCTAACATCCTGAGCGTTGCAGTTGTGCTAAATTTCAGAGCTGTTGAATGTGAAGAACCAACCTTGACTGTAGTGGTTTTTGATTGCTGCTTTTCTTTCAGGCATCTGTTTCTGAATTCGCTTTGAATTATGCATGGTGGAGTTTAATGCCTCTCAAGGTTTTATATTGTTTATAGGGAATTTTGGACTCGTATCATATGCATATAATTCACATGCTGCCTAGTTGGAGCTCTTGAATGGTTTTTCTCATTCTTTTTCTAGTTTCTCAGGGGCCAGATGGTATCACTTTAGCTTTCAATGCTGACCGTGATCCTTCTGATTACTGTAACTAAAGTGTGCAAGAAATAAATGAGGGAGCAGGAGGATTTCATAATAGATTTTGTCTGCTTTTTAAATGAAGATTTTGATCTTTTAACAAGACGTTTTTCATTCATTTTTCTTTTCTAAAAAGTTGCACTTCTGTAGTAGAGCAGTATCTTAAATTAAACAAACCTAGCAGCTTTATATTCACATTTTCAAGAACGTATTTTCTGTAAGAACCGTGCGGTGTGAAGCGTGTTGTGTAAAGGCTCCTTGAGAATACAAATATCTATTTTCACTGCTCCCCTAGTAGCATAATAGGTGCAGTCTCTTTTGAATTTAAAGAAAAGGTGTATTAAATTATAATCTGCCTGTGCTGGATTTGGAAATGCTTTAAGAAAGTTGTTTTTGTGAGAGCTGTGGCTCTGCTGTTTCTAACTTGCTGCTGCCAGTAGGATGGAGCGAAGATAAGAGACAACACAAATAATGTGCTCTAGATTTCTTCTGCTTTTGACAGGAACTAACCTCTAATCCTGTGTGATATCATTAATTTGATAGTGTCTGTAAAACATTAGAATTTGACTTTATATACTCCAAGTGTGATCTTTAGTTACTCCCACTCTTCTGGCATCGGCTGCGCCTGTGGGAGATTTGGCCCTCTTCTCAAGGTTACTTGAGGCCAGTCTGGGTGTGACTCTGTGTCCTCAGCTGCTGAAAAACCTCATCTTGTGTGACTGAAATGAATGGGTGGCTTCTGGAGAAGTTCTCCATTCTCTGGAGAGCTGCTGATATTTTTTTTTTTATACTTTTTAACTCCTTCCGTTAAGGTATCTTCCCCCCCGGTGTGCTGTTAGTGAGTTCTGGTTGAAGGATTATAAAATGTAGTTGAAAGATTGTAAGTGCTGTGTATCTCGGGGCCGTTGTTAGCAAGTACCTCACCAATTGACATAGTACAAAACCAAGTCCCTGAAAGACAATTTCCATCAAATAGAAGTGATGCTGGTGGTAAAATGTCCAAAAACCCCCAAAAGATAAACATGAGGCATATAGACTTAGGTGCTGACCTCATTAGTACATTTTTTTCTTTCCTTGAGATTAATTGCAAGATCACTTTTAAAAACTTAATTAACTTAAACCAAGTGAGTGGAACCTGTTTCTGGCATGGCTGGAATACGTGACTGTGTTCTGGCAGGAGCTTCTTAACCTGGAGAGTTGTTCATTGCACTTGGAGGTTAAGGTATTGATTTAATTGATGAAGCTTCAACAACTGCCTTTGGAAAGCTTAAACACACACCTCTTATTTTGTGCATAACTGCCACAGCTGCTGGAAGCAGCTTTGCCTGAGTCACTGTGTCTTTACCAAAAAGTGGAATCCTCAGAGGGAAAATGGTACCAAATTTCTTTGGTTTAAAAGTTGCCTAAACAGACATATTTGTAAGCTTTTGGGTAAGAGAGGATTTCCGTCATGATAATGGATTTTTTTCTTGCTGATTTTGGACAGGCTGGGTTTAATTTTGCTTGATAGTGAAATAAACTGCATTTTTAAACAAGCCCAAAGTATCAGTCCTAGCATAAAGAACTTCTGAATTTGTTACACAAACGATATTTATAGTGTTTGCTTGCATTTGTTTGCATTTGCAGGTTGAATTTGAGTGCATTAATGAAAAGAAAAGACAGAAGAAGAAAAACTATAAAAACTCTGGCATTGTGAGCGTTAAGCACTGTGAGGTCAGTAATATATTCTAGTTTTTAACTCTTTGTTTTTAAGTGTTCAGGCATACCAGCTGTCATCTAGAATTCCTTCACCCTCAGACTATAAAAAACTTTAAAATGCCTGAAAGTTCTAGACGCAGGAAATTTTGAAGGGTTCTGATTCATATAAGGAGACAGATTGACAGCTAAATCACCTGTGTCTGTCCTTCCTTCTGCCCTCACTTTCTCATGAAGATGCCATCTGTATGGCAAAGGTTCTTTATTGATTTGTTAGGCCATTCCTGAACCCCTGCAGGGGTGAATTATGGTGAATTAAAGTTTTATGGTGAATTAAAATTGGGTAAGTCTGTCGTAATATGTAGTGATTTAAATGGAAGTGCTTGTGGAGCTGCTTTGTTGTCTGCTGGTAATTTTGCAAAGGGTCTGATTGTGATGCCCCGAGTGTGTGATGGCACACACTGTGGGATACCTCTAGAGTAAAAGCAGTGCTTTGCATGGATAAAGATAAATCTGGAACCTCAGAAGTCGCTGCAATAATACTTAAGGGTTTTATCCCATTTAGAAAAAAAAAAAGTTGTTAATTTCTACCTTTACTTCTGTTTTTAGATCATAGTAGAATGCACATTCCTTGATTACATCATGGGTGGGTGTCAGCTGAATTTCACAGTAAGTTAAATTGCTTTATATAAAGTAGCTTTTGAGTTTTGAAACAAGCTGAAGTATATAATTGATTGCCTGTGCTCTTCATTTGATTATTGTATTTTTTGTTGTTGTGGCTCTGTAGCATGGAGGGGGGAAGCCATTTTGCCAGAGTTCATGTAGTCTGTTAAGAAAAACATACTTTCTTTACTCATAGCATGAAGTTCTGAACCTGTAGTATGTTAGGAGCTAGCTGAGCTGTGTGGATGGAGAACAAGAAGTTTTCAGTTCTCTGATTTACTTCAAGTTTCCTTTTCATAAAGGTGCTTTTTTATTTTTTCCTTCCTCTGACCACAGATTTCGCTTTTGATGTTGGTTTTCAAGGCCCTTTGCTTAATGAAAGCAAATCATATGGATTAGGGCCCTTAAGTTAGGTAATTTGCAAACCAAATGCAGCACGAGTAACAGTAACACATCTTCAGCCTGGTGACAGGCCTCATCCCCAAAGCAGAGAGGGCCCATTGAGGTCAGAGAATGGCTCTGGCTCCTGTGGTGTCTCACTAGCCATACTTCTGAAAGGTCTGTATGGCAAGAAACAAGATGAAATTCATTTAACAGCTATTGAAGAGCTGCTGTGAACAGTAACTGAAAGGAAACAGTGAAAGCCTGACGGATGGAAGTCACTTCAGCCCTTCTGAGAGAGGCAGAGCTGCTGCTGGTTTCGTAGTGGCTTTGTTTTAAGAGTGTTAATATTTCAAGAAACTTGAGTCTCTAAGTATTGTACCTGTTAGATTTGTAGATGTTCTGGTTACTACTGTTTACAGCCCTTTCATGATTTTCACTTTTGCTTTGCCAGAAATAAGAAACATAACTTAACCTCTAGCAGCAATTTGAAATAACTACTGCCTTTGACAGGTGGGGATAGATTTCACAGGCTCCAACGGAGACCCTCGCTCCCCGGACTCTCTGCATTACCTCAGCCCTAACGGAGTTAACGAGTACCTCACGGCCATTTGGTCTGTAGGGCTGGTCATTCAGGATTATGATACGTAAGTTTTAGCTTGTTATTTAAATCATTTTATAGATATGCGTAAGTTTTTGTGGTAGTTTCTTAAAGCGGCGTTGAAGGTGTCAGCTGGTACCTTGGTATTAAACTTCTGAGCTAAAAAAGACTTCATAATTGCTGCACAGTCACGTAATCACAAGCAGAAGCTTCTGTCTGCAGCAGACAGACAAGGCTTTTCATCTGTGATATGAAGAGCAACATCAACTTAAACGCTTGCATTCTTGCTGGTTTGGTGTTAAAGACTGGTACTGGTCCTAGCAACAATTACAAGGGGGAACTGCCATTTAATTTTGTCTCTTAAGGCTTAATAAACAGCACTGATTAGCTAAACTTATTGAACTATGACAGCTTTTAAAGGAAGGCGCTCATTTCATTTTCTTTAAAATTGCTTTTTTTAGAGATAAGATGTTCCCAGCTTTTGGATTTGGTGCACAAATTCCTCCTTCCTTTCAGGTAATGGGATATGTAAATGCCTTATGTAAGGCGACTGAAAGCACTTACTTCAGGAGGAGATTGTCCATACAGTCCTGACTGTGTCTTTTGTGTATTGACAGGTGTCACATGAGTTCCCATTAAATTTTAACCCATCAAACCCATTCTGTAATGGTAAGTCTGAGAAAGTAAGAGTCAGACCCATAGAATAAAATGTCTGAGGCGAAGGGATAGGAAACACTCAAGAGAAGAACTGTGAAGCATGTTGTTCTAAATAAACAATGACTTTAGTCGTGTAGCAGGAAACAATTTTACAGCTGTTTTCTTGGCTACTAGACATGGCACTCGGTCTTTTTTCTGTAATCATTCCTGAAAGAAGTGGTTTGAATTTGTAATTTGGCGACACACACTTGGGCAGACAGTTTTTGGCCTTTCTATTCGGTCCCCATTGCTCGTGGGTCATTCGCTTTCATCATGGTTAGTTTTGAGTCTTTGCATTTTCACTTCAAAAAGTGATACATACAGTGTTTTAGGAAGGTCAAGTGCTAATTCTAATCTGGAAAAATCAGTGTGATCTGTTTGTGTTCTCTAGGAGTCCAAGGCATTGTTGATGCCTATCGGGCTTGCCTTCCTCAAGTGAAGTTATACGGGCCAACAAATTTTTCTCCAATTATAAATCATGTGGCAAGATTTGCTGCTGCAGCTACACAACAGCAAACAGCATCTGTAAGTTCTTTGTGGGAGTATGTGTGTTTTTCCTACTTTTTTCTTTCCCTTCTAGTTTATAAATACTATTTTTTCTCTTTCAAGCTTGTAAGTGTACTTGAATCAACAGCTGGTTGTTTACCTTGTGAATTGATATTTGCTACCCTTAAATCGAGATAACAGCTAACTGATTTTTGCAGATTGTATGCAACAATTCTCTCCTAAATCAACTAAATAAACTCATCAGAGCTGAAATACCGACTTAAACATACACGGCAGCTTTATGGTATCTTCTGCTCAGAGCTCTTGCAGTGCTGTACAGGGGTTAGTTACATTTAAGCCTTTGCATATACAGGAATGATTTAATGTCAGCTGAGAAAAATCAGTTCTACTTTGTTTTACATCAGATAGCTGAGAATTAAGTAAGGTAAGGAAGAAATGGAGGCCATAGCTCCTCACACCGAGGTACCAACAGTGATAACTAACTGCCTGTCTCATGTGCTGTGCCATCCTCCCCAGTAAAATTGGGTGGGGGAGTTGTCGACTGTATTAAGAAATAAGAATTCCAAAGAGCAAGTCTTGAGTATCAAATCATTTAGATAATAATCCATGTGAGTTCAGCAAATCTGAAGCCATATGTATTGTAAATAACTTATTAGAGCATATACCGGTGTATCAGACGTCGTGTAAAATCGGAACAGAAAACTAGCTATTTTGCATATAAATATAAACCTGTGGAAACCAATTTGGAGAAGAGCTATGGATTTTTGTATGCCAAGAGTTATAGAAGGTATTGCCTTGGTAGTCTCCCAGTTGTAACTGTCATCACCATCTATCTGTATATGGAGAGAGATAGAAGGAATTTAGCAACAGCTCTTGTACCTTTATTTTTCCTTTTTTCCTGAAAGTGCAATACACCCAGCAAGAGATCTATGTTTTTTCTGCCTGAAAGGACATGTTTAAGAAATTTTGATGCCTTGCCATTTCACACCTATCGCAGATACTTTGGGTTGAGTTCTGATTTTTTTATTCCAGTATGTGGGTAGTGTGAGCAAGAAATAAATGGGATGTGATGGGCTTTCCTGCTGCTGGTCACAGCCTTCTCTGATCCTCATGGTTTGCAGACACTCTTGCTGGAGTCAGGGAATGGAGTGGTGGGGAGGAGCAAGGAGACAAGGTGGTACTTGAACACGGGAGATAAGGGAAAACCAATTATTTTGGAGGCAGATAAGGGAAGATGGGAAGCAAAGTACAGAAGAGGAGGACTTCTAAGGATACTGGGAGTACCTTTGGAACTTGAATTTGTGCTGCCCAGTAATCATCTGATATGAACCAAGTGAGAGAAGATCAGAAGTTCAAATAGTAGTTTCAGAGAGTTTCTGAACTTCTAACTGCTGCTTGATACTTCAGTCCAGAGTGGAGGCTCAAATGCCACCTTTTAGAAGCCCTGGCAGTAGAGTGGGAGCAATCCCAGTGATACTTGAATAAATTACTGAAATACTGCAAGGTGGCCTTGGTAATTAACTTCATAAAGCAGCTAGAAAACATGCTTAAAGGAATTTGAAAACAGGCATGCTGGGTTTTTTCAGCAGAAAACGATGTGGTTTAATGTATATTCAGGATTTTTGGGTACACTATGAAAATGAAGGCCTGTTCCGTTACCCTTGGTAGTGCTCTTTTGTTCATCTGACTGTTCTTAACTGCCTGAAGGGAAGGGCAGCATTTCATAAAGGTGTTGATAGACCAGAGAGGAAACAAGTACAAGTTTCACAGGTGTAGTCTGTCCAAAACCTCAGTAAACTGCCTTCTATCATGGGACAAATACTCAGAAGATAGCTTACTTATTGGTTTGTTGGGGATTTTGGAGAGGAGAGGGGTGATACCGCTGGGTTTTTGGGAGGTAGCTGTCTAAAGGTTACTTCTTTTAAAAGATTATGTTGTCCTTATAAATTTCTTTGGACTGTACAGATGAAGCCTGGCCACAGCTTAGTTGGACTGTGAAATTCAGTGAGTGCATTGAACATGCTCAAAGTGACAACAGTCCCTAGTCTGCACGTGCATTTTTTTAGGTCTGTGCCCCTACATGTTTCCTATTTCTTTGTCACAAGACGGTGTTTCTTGGTTTGACAGCAATACTTTATACTCCTGATCATCACGGATGGTGTGATAACGGACCTCGATCAGACTCGAACCGCCATCGTTAATGCTTCAAAACTGCCCATGTCCATCATCATCGTTGGTGTTGGGGGAGCAGACTTCGATGCTATGGAGTTTCTAGATGGTGACAATGGAGTTCTTCGGTCCTCGTCAGGAGAACCAGCCGTCAGAGACATTGTCCAGTTCGTGCCCTTCAGGAAGTTCCAAAATGTAAGTAATTTTAATGGTATGCCTAATTAGCACTGTAGAGGCGTGCTGGGCTTGCTGGCGTATCCTACCTATAGCCCTAAGCTTTTGCACTCTCTCTCAATGAACTCTGAAGATCTGAGATACATATTTATCAAATGCTAAAAAATAATAATAATAAAAAAAAGACAGAAGACTTCAGCATCTGTAGAATTTCCATTTGGTGAGCTGATTCATGTTTAAAAAGACTCCATTTCTGCTTTAAGCACCGCATTTCTAATAAGTTGCTGCAGGGAAATGACCTTTGTAAATCTTCCCCAGACTTGATTAAACAGATGGATGTGGTTTTCGTTTGGAAGAACTTAGTGTGGTTTTGTTCTTACGGAAAAGTGTTTTTTATTGTGGATGCCCATTTGTAAATATGGATTAGTCTCACATTTTAGTGCAGTGTTAAAATTCAAGATTAAATCAGGGAGGTTGTAATCAGTAGAAATTGTGTGTGGGCACAATAGCGGTTTTCATTTTCATTAAAGCAAATATATGAAAAAAATGGCTAGTGAAAGAGTGGAATCCTGATTTTTTTGCTGTAGAACTCAATAAAATACTCCCAGACTGCTGTAGTCTAACTTTTAAATGTCATATTGCTGGAAAAAGCTGATTAAAAAAAAAAAAAAACCACACCAAGATTTCCTCAGGATGGGGAAGATAAGATCAATACTTTTATTTCCATCCTAATATGTTCTAATTTTTTGTTTCGTTTCTTTATATTGACCCTGTTAATAATACTCCTTATACCTTCTTATTTTGTCTTTCTGCTTTTATTTTTGCTTTTACTTTTGATACAAGTTCTTTGTTTAATCTCAGAGCAACTTGGGCAAACTGAACGGAGAAAGAGAGCAAAAATGAGTACAGAATGTGCTCGCTGAGTAATGCACTTGAATGTAGATTAACTAAGGTCAATATTCAGTATAAAATTATATATCCAAATGCTTTCTGTTCCAAAAAAAAGGGGCGGATTGTTTTCCCTTGGATACTTAGTCTTACCCTAAAACCAGTCTCTCCAGAAGAGCTGCTGTGTAGCAGTAGAGTTCCTGTGGGGGAGACTTGGTGCAGGTGATCATGGGTCACCTCCAGCAGGTAGTGGGAGTCTCTTGAAGTTTGACATCCGTGCTTTATTTTGGGTGACAAAAGGTGTCCAGAGACACAGCAGCACTTTGCACACCCAGCTCCTCTTCCTGCAGTGGGAGGGGGCAGCCAGCTGGCTCCTGGTGTCACGAGTGAGGAGGTGAAGGTATCAGGGAAGGTTCCATCTGTCCCACAAGGGGTGTAAACACCTCTGTAAAATGCCAGGCTTTGCCCTAGAAGAGCAGGTGCTCGTTACCCATCTTAGGATCTGGTGTGGAAACTGAAACTTGGTCTTCTTTTTTTTCCCCCTAAGTCTCCGAAGGAAGCTCTGGCGCAGTGTGTCCTGGCAGAAGTCCCTCAGCAGGTGGTGAGCTACTTCAGCACCTACAAACTGCAGCCTCCCAAGAACCCTGCCACAAAGTGAAGGGATGGGCCCAGCGAGGGCAGCTGGGACTCAGTGCTTGCTTGACCTGCTGCATCTACAGGCTTGGGTTCTCCAGGGGCTTCTGTGTCCCTGTATCCACACTCCTCTCTATGGTAACGGCTCTTAGCTTCTGCCTGCAAATCACGTTGCCAAGTGTGCCTTTTGAGGGCCAAAAGGACAATTTTCTTAAAATCTGATGCTGATTTGAGAGATAGGGCTTTATTTTATTTTGAAGAGTGGGGGAAAAATATGCAGAGAGAAGAGGGAGAGCAGCTGGAAGTGGAACAGCTGAAAACGGGAAAGAGGGAATAACCCCACCAAGCAGGGAAGAATTTGTATGGGCTTCAACAGATCTGGGATGTTTCAGGCTCCTGTGTTTAAGCCACCACAACAGTTTTGTGGCAGGGGTTTCACAATTAGACATGTGCCAGAAGAGGGTGTAACAGCCCTCCTTGCACGCTCGTTTCACCTTTGCCACTTCAGTGCCTCCGCTCAGGGCCAGGTGATCACCAGCCAAACAAGTCCTTAAACTCTTCCACCGGGCACAGTCTCTAGAGGTAGGACAGGAATAACCCTGGTGGATCAAGGTGAACCTCTAACATCCCAGAAAAATACTCTTGGCCTTTGAGGCTGCCCCTGTAAAGTGGCTTTTCAGTGTGTACTCTGCTGGAAAATGGGAACTCCACATTTTATTTTGGTTGGGGTTTGGTTTTGGTTTTTTGTTGTTTTTTTTTTTTCCCCTGTAGAAGTTGTGACTGTTGATCTTTAAAGGGCTTTTTGTGAAGTGGGAATTCACTTTTCAGTTAAAAAGTTTTGTCTGATTTTATAACTGTGCGTTTTCAAGCAAAGACACTTCTTGAAAGTGCTGCTTTATTTAGATGGGTTTTGTCATATTTTGAATCATGCTGCTTTTTCACGAGCTCACTAATGAAAAGTGCCTGCAAAAAGAACCACAATCTTGCCTCTTCCCTCCCTGTAGGAAGACAGAAGCAAGTCTCTAAGCTCTGATCCTACAATCGCACTGCATTTCTCTAGGGCACACAGTTTCTGGTTTGTTTTCTTGGCTTGAGCTTTCTTGTCACCATTTACACCAAGTGTAAGTCATCTTCTGTTTGGGACAGGTGAGGTTTTCTTGCCTCCCAGGTGTGTACACTCCTTTCTGAGGCGCAACCTAAGTGGGGATGTAAAGGTCCCATTTATCACTTGTAAAATGCTCATCCTAAACGTTAGATTAGAGCACGTTAGAGCAGAAGGGACTACCCCTGAATTGAACGTGCTCGAGCACTCAAGGTTGCACCAGGTCGTGGGACCTGGGACTTTTTTTACTCACTGGAGCTGCTCTGTCATTTTTTGAGGTTTTGGGTGGGGTTTTTTTCCATATATGTGTAATCCTGTCAAAAATCTGAATTCCCATTAGCATTGATGGATGAAAGATAGATGTTTGGAGATTGTCTTGTGCATCCTGCAAAACACACCAGGTGTTTTGTAGCCAATTAGTTACCAATCATGGCTTAATACGCTGTTCTCCCCTCCCTTTTCCTTGGAGGAAAGGGTCCCTACTAGTGTCAGTAGAGGAATGCTAAGGAAGAGATTTTGTTTCATATTAAGCCAAGCTCTTTCTTTTTTTTTTAATCATGTGTTTGTTTATATCAAATCCTACAGTCGTCGTTCGCTCAGTGTAGTGTGAATGCGTTACTGCTTCATGTATCAATGCCAATGAAGAGCCATGCCAGATACACAACACAAAATACTAAGATCAAGGCAGGTAATTATAAGGAGCCTAAATCACGCTGCTGCTAATTGATACTGGCTGATTTTGGAGAAATGAACTCTTTCGGAGCTCCGTGTGCAGAGGAAACTGGCTGGGGTGTTAGTGCTGTGTCTGGCCCGACTGCTGGTGGGAGCAGAGGGTGCTACTGAAGTTCCTCTGAGCTGGCTGCCAAAAATAACACTGCTCAGCTGAGTGCTGGTACCAGGGCTGCTTCAAGTCGCTGTGGAAGCACATTTAAACACATTAAAGTATGTTAATAGGTATTATTATAAAGTCGTTATAGTAAGTGTCTGCTGCGTATAAAATACATAACCCCTTTTGTCAGTATTCTACACAGAAATTCTGAGTTTCTACAGCAGAGAATTGGTTAGCTCTTGTTGAAGTGCCTCGATGTTCCTCAAGCTTAGGGAATTAAATAGCACATGGATGACCCCTGCTCCTCAGTGTGCCCCCTTCTGTGTGAAGGGACGTGTTCCAGACCTGACAGCAGCGAGGACCGCCGGCCGGGGGTAACCTGGAGGGCTGGGGACAATTGGACAATTTGGGAGCTGAAGCAATAATCTGAATAAAGGAATGCAGCAGATGGTGAGTCGAGGGGGAGGGGAATTATTGTGTTGCGTTGCCGTTTTTTGGTTAGTTTATTTTTACATGTACCAAAGGCCTTATTAGCTTGAGGGTGACAAAGCAAAATATTGTCAAAGTTGTGTAAAGCGATGTGCGTGTGTGTCACTTGCGCCACCTTGTGGTGGAAGGGCTCTATAGCAGTCTGCATAACCTCATCCTTGCTGCCACTTAACGGTCTAACGTATACATATGTACAGCAGAGAAATTACCTGTAACCACAATTTTTTACTTTCCTATGTATTTCAGTCCCGATGAAGTTAACTGATTTACAGTCCTACGCATTAAAAATATAATTTCATTACACTGCTCTTCCCTTGTGCTTCTGTACTCGGCATTTCCCTGGAATGGTAAATGCTGCTTGTGCAGCTCCTGTGCTCGGAATTCCAGAGGTGGAACAGCTGGTTTCTAACAGTTATTTATTATCAGGTGAGAGGAAAAAAAATGCCTTTTCTTTCAGTGGTTAGGAATGTGCAGTGTGTGTTTCATAAAGCATCTCATGCTGGCTTTTAGAAAGAAAATATTCTGAAATGGGATGGTTTTGGGAGTGAGTGTTTCATGCTCTTTGCCATGTTAGAGTTCCCCCTCTAATTAGCATGCTCATACATGCAAATACAATTATTATCAGGCTTTCCCAAACTCTCTTTCAGAATAGCATCTACACGTTAAGTATGGAGGCACGGAGATTTGGTTAATTTTTAGGTTGGTTTCCTTAGTATTTTTAGTTTTTGTAGGAGACGGCACATTGCCCAACCTCAGGGAGCTCTGATACTGGGAGTTGTGTCTTCTAAGGAATAGGATTCTGCTCCTAAATAGCAGCAGTGGAGCTCTACTGCTGTCCTTAGGAGTGGGACTCTTAGAAGTAGAATCCTGCTTCTAAGTGTAACTCACTTGACTTCACCAGTCAGGAATCCGCAGAATTAGAGTTGGTTCCTGGAAGGATTTCATACATTTTACATTGACTACACCTCACAAGACCTCTCTTGTGTCGGTCCTTCTGGTGAAAACCCTATAAATAGTTGGGAACTTGAATGGGCCGGCTACACCCTCCTTTCAGGGAGTTGGAGACAGTGAGAAGGTCTCCCCTCAGCCTCCTTTTTTGTGGGGAGGGGCCCAAAACTGGACACAGTACTTGAGGTGAGGCCTCACCAGTGCCCAGTACAGGGGGATGGTCACCTCCCGAGTCCTACTAGCCACTCTGTTCCTGACACAGGCCAGGATGCTGGTGGCCTTCTTGGCCACCTGGGCACACTGCTGGCTCCTGTTCAGCCGGTGTCCACCAACACCCCCAGGGCCTTTTCCACCAGGCAGCTCCAGCCAAACGAATGCCCAGCCCCTTGAGAAACCCAGAGTTAAAGGGTTGGGGGGGCAATAGCTAATTCTTTGCCATGTTTATTCACCAGTGACAACCGGAGCGGGTGCTCCTGCCTTCAAACGGGCGGCAGCAGTTCTGCACTCTGCCTCCCCATTGTGGATTCTGGGATTTTTTTTCTTTGGACAGTGGTTTTGTTCCTCAGGCCTCTTTGTCCCAGGCTGAACCATCCTGCACCGAGCTGCTCCCATCACAGCAGCACATCCGTGACCAGAAGGACCAGGGGAGGAGAGAGGAGGATGGAAAGAAACGTGAGCAACCTCAGCAACAGCAGGGCAGTAACGAGCAAAAGGATAACTACAGGAAACCAGAAAAGAAAATAGAAAAGAACACAGAGAAGGATGAAGAGCAAACCCAGCAACAGGAACAGCACTAAGAAAGCGAGGACAAGCAGGAGAGGGAAGAAGAGGAGCAGGAACAGGACGGAGTGAGAGAGAAGGGGGAGCATGGATCAAGAGAAAACCCAGTGGGTCTGAGCTCTGGTTCCTGGTACCCCAGAAGTTCTCTCTTCAGGCTGGAGGTTTAGAGGTCAGTATAGAAATAATCTGTTGGGTTGTCTCAGGAGCAGAGGATGAGAAGAGTAGGAGCTGGGGTAGGTTCTTCTCTTGAGTAGTCTCTATTTTTAATCTTTTTGTACCCAAAAGCAGCGTCACGCTAGCTCTCTGAATTCAGCAAGACAATAGACGGGGCCACAGCCCAAAGCACCATCTACTTCTTTTTTTTCTCTTTAGCTTCGACTTTAAGGATCTCTCCTTCTCCTGCTCTGGGGGATGGAGACATACTGATGATCAGGGACTCGTTAGAGGTTCCTCTGTGCATGGCTGCAGGAGGTTTGGGCTTGGCAGCTGCGGCCGGCTCTTCCCTCTGCGCAGGGGGTGCAGGGGCCGTGGGCTCCGCAGGTTTCTTCTCTGGTTCAGGTTTGTTCTCTTCTTCAGCTTGAGCTTCCTAGAAACAAGAAGTTAAACGTTCGCCTCTGCTGCAAAAGGGATTCAGGGAGTTCTGTGTGTGCAGTGGAAAGGCACAGCATGGACACTGTCATTAAGGGTATGCAGCGTATGTAAATTTGTAATCAGATGCTGAAAATCAGTTCCTAAATGAAAAATGCAGTTTCAGAATCAGAATGTCAGCATAAAACCTGGGAAAGCTTGTGGATAGGGATGGTATCTGCTGCTTAATAATACAGCAGGATGAAACGGGCACGTTTTGGGCCACACAGCCCTTCCTTAGGCCTTGCCTTCCTTCACAGAAAGAAAAAGCGTTATGTAGATCCTGACGCATTGCCCAGGGCCCCAGTTCCTTGGCCAAGCCTATTTGCTGTTCAGTTCACAAATGCACGTTAAATTGAGCAATGTTTCTGCTCCAATCGTAGCGTCGCAGCCATTTGTGTAACCCAAGTTCTTTATTTTTATTTTAAAAAGTAAATAAACCCACCACCAGTTCAGCTATAAAGACAGAACAGAATTGTGCCACCCTTGGGTGAGTGTGCAGAACTGAGCAGGTTCTTACTAACATGAACAGTTCTCAGAACAGAGTAGAATGTGGGAATTATTTTTCATCAGCTGAAATAACAGTTTCCTTATAAGTTCAATATCTGAGAGATTCAATCAGTTTTAGCTGTGTGGGCTAAACTGGAAATTTTTATCTTCAGGATTTGTGATAACTGAAGATCTGACTTTGAACTGGAAAGTTCACCACGGACTTGAGTCAGCTGGATCAGATGGCTGTGTCAGGATCTTTCTGTATTTACTGTTGTTTACGTAAAATTAGAAGATAAGATGCCCTTTGTAAAGTCTATTTTATACTTAACTTTCTTTCAGGATTTTTGTTTGCTTGCTTTTTTTATCCCTGTTTTTTTTTTTTCTTTGCTTTTGTTTTCTCTGCTCTGCAGAGAGTCCAGGGCCAGGAAGATTTGAGCCAAATTTGAGCCCTGGTGTTTACAGAGATGAGGCAGAGGGATTATCTCCCAGCTCCTGGGAGGTTTTGCATTAAGGCTACATTTTCCCCCGCTCTGTTTGCCTGGGCCCTCCCAGTGTCTTTCCTTTTTCCCTCTTCAGCTCCCGAAATGACCCACTCTGTTTTCTGTGGCGTTACCTGAATGTCTTGTTCTCTCTTCAGCTGCAGCAGCTTCGCCAGCCCTTCTTTTCCTTTACCTCCAAGCATGGCTTTAAACAATTTTGGAGTCTCCTGTTTCTGCCCAAACAGACCGGCCAGGCCCCGTGGTTGTTGTGCTGGAGGTCCTGGAGCAGGTTTCCCCTTCTCCTTCAGCAGCACCCTGGAGAACAGGAGGAGTGAGAACACACCTCAGTGCTGGGGAACTGAACGAAGTTCCTGCAAAGCTAAAACGTCGCCTTTGGGGATGAAAATCCAGCAGCTTTTCCAGTGATTTTCTTCCAGCAACAGCAAAGCTGGCGAAGGGAAGGGTTTTAGCCTGGGCTTTGGTAGAGTTGGAGGCTGCTGTTCTAATTTGGAGTTAGAATCATAGAATCATTTAGGTTGGAAAGCTGCTTTAAGATCATCGAGTCCAACCATCAACCTGGCACTGCCAAGCCCACCACTAAACCGTGTCCCTCAGCACCACATCTACACCTCTTTTAGATACCTCCAAGGATGGCAACTCCACCGCTTCCCTGGGCAGCCCATTCCAATGTTTGATAATCCTTTCAGTGAAGAAATTTTACATACTATCCAGCCTGAACCACCCCTGGTGCCACTGGGCCTATTTCCTCTTGTCCCATTGCCTGTGACTTGGCAGAAGAGACCACCCCCCCGCCGGCTACACCCTCCTTTCAGGGAGTTGGAGAGAGAACTAAGGTCTCCCCTCAGCCTCCTTTTCTCCAGGCTGAACACCCCCAGCTCCCTCAGCCTCTCCTCATAAGACTTACTCTCCAGACCCCTCACCAGCTTTGTCGCCCTTCTCTGGACCCGCTCCAGCACCTCGATGTCTTTTTTGTGGTGAGGGGCCCAAAACTGGACACAGCACTCGAGGTGGGGCCTCACCAGTGCCCAGTCAAAGGTAGAATCACTTTCTCAGTCCTGCTGGCCACACTCTTTTTAAAACAAACCAGGACACTGTTGGCCTTCTTGGCCACCTGGGCACACTGCTGGCCCATATTCAGCCAACAGCTGACCAACACCCCCAGGGCCTTTTCCACCAGGCAGCTCCAGCCACTCTGCCCCCAGCCTGTAGCGCTGCAGGGGGTTGGTGGGACCCAAGGGCAGGACCCAGCACTATGTCTTGTTGAACCTCATCCTATTGGCCTTGGCCCATCCATCCAGCCTGTCCAGCTCCCTCTGTAGAGCCTTCCGACCCTCAAGCAGATCAGCACTCCTGCCCAACTTGCTGTCCTCTGCAAACTTACTGAGGGTGCACTCGATCCCCTTGTCTAGGTTGTTGATAAAGTTATTAAACAGAATTAGCCCCAGCACCGAGCCCTGTGGGACATCACTTGTGACTGGCCACCACCTGGGTTTGACTCCATCCACCACAACTCTTTGGGCCCAGCCCATTTTTCGCCCAGCAGAGCACGCCTCTCCAAGCCACCAGCAGCCAATTGTTTACCTGTATCCTGGAGAACAAAGAGGTGCAGGCTCAGAGTAAGGTGTCACAAAGTGGACAAGAGTTTTATAAGGTGAGAAGTCATGTGGAGGGGGATGGATGTCTCAGACCTAAGGTGGAGATCTCTTACCTGCCCTTCTGGATGGAAATTCTGAGAGCATTTAGTGCTCAATCTGGAGTCCAGCTGATGCTTGTGGAAGTCTTACTTTACCAAACTAGCTCAGCATGGCTCATCTCTCATAGGTCAGGTTAGACAGTGGTACTTATTTTTGATCTTCTTTGGTAGAAGATACCCTGAAGGTATAAAAATTCCTGCCAATCGTGTGGCGGATGAGATTTTCACACCCTTCCATAGCTGTACTGATTTGCAACCATAACAAGAAGTGAGAATGAATGATGAGGGAAAGACGAGGTGACAGTTCCAAGACAGATGGAAGCAGTGAGAAGCAGAGGGTTCCCACACTTCCCATTAAGTCACTGGACAGTTTTCAAGGCAACTTTTATATCCTTGCAAAAGCCCTGACTCAAGGCTTTTTATGAATGAGTACTTGCAGACTGACGTACAGTAAGTTCCATAATATTATAGTTTTCTCCAGTGTTTTGCCTTTTGTAATTTGGGGAATTTCAGAAGTGAAGATTTAACATTTTTAAGTTGTATTTTTTGTTAATTTAAAAGTGCATTTCAGCAGCTTCCGTGGGTTTAGACCATACAGTGACTATCAGGTGTGTGATATATGGACAGATTTCTTCATTGAATAACTCCTCTGAGTCTATTTCAAGGAGCCCTCTAAAGGTGTAGGATGACCAATGCAAGAGGACATCTAACACAGGGCAAGTCCTCTAGCAGAGGACTCTAACATAAACCTTCCAGGGCAACTGATAACTCGGCTCCAAAACTGAACATAACTGCGATCCTTATCAAAATGGTGCTAAAACCACCCGTTGGTGCTTTGTTTTTCTAGGGACGTGGCTGCCCGGGCATAGGACACAGGAGTTTTGGAAGAATTAGTGGATGCATAGATAGGTGAGCAGAACACGAGGTCTCCAGCACAGGGCAGGTACTGCCTATCTTTAAAATTAAACAGGATCTCCTGTATTGAGTTTGATATCTAGAGAGGGCTTTGGGCTCAAGTGGGAGTGCAGGTGAAGGACGGATGGTTCTTAAGCTCCTGCAGTTGAGAGAGGCTGTCTGGAGGAAGCAGAATGGAATGGCTTGGCAGGATATGAGTAGGGTGGGCAGGAAAGGTGCCCCAGCGAAGGGCAACAAAGATGATTCAAGGATTGGAGCATCTCCCTTATGAGGAGAGACTGAGAGAGCTGGGACTCTTTAGTCTGGAGAAGAGAAGGCTGAGGGGAGACCTTATCAACGCCTACAAGTATCTCAAGGGAGGGTTGAAGGAGGAGGGAGCCAGACTCTTTTCAGTGGTTCCCAGTGAGAGGACGAGGGGCAACGGGCACAAGTTGGAACATAAGAGGTTCCACTCAAATATGAGGAGAAACTTCTTCACGGTGAGGGTGACAGAGCCCTGGAACAGGCTGCCCAGGGAGGGTGTGGAGTCCCCTTCCTTGGAGATCTTCAAGACCCGCCTGGATGCTCCTGAGTAACATGCTCTAGCTCTGGGCAATCCTGCTTCAGCAGGGGAGTTGGACTAGATGGTCTCTATGGTCCCTTCCAACTCTGAAATTCAGTGAAAATCAGTGAAAGCAGAAGAAGGTAGTGCAGGACAGAGAGAGAGGTATAACAGCTACTGATGGTCCTACAACTCTTCAGAAAGAAGCTGAGGACAAGAGAGGTAGGGTGAATGCTGGGGACCACCAGTCAGTGGGGTTTGTTCCACCTTTCAACCTGTTGATGCTGGTTTTGAAAAGTGGGCGATCGGCCCATCCTGTGTCCAGGTTCCTTCTTCCTCAGCGACGTGATGATTCTCAAGATGCTGTCACTTGATAACCAGGGCTGTTGAAAAATGCTGAATGCAACCATCTGCCAGCACTTCCACCAAAGAAAATGTCACTCCTGTGCTATGTTTAGTCTTTGCTGGTGGCATTTCAAGTCTGGGAGCAACCTTCCAACCTTTGGTACCAACGCAAGGCAGCAGCTGAGAACAGTAAGTGTGCTGAAGTATACTGCTGGCAACAAATCCTTTCATGTATGTGAACCTTTTGCAAGGTAATATGGTGCTCATTTTGTCATAATTTTATGACAAACTCTGCCCATATTTTTCCCTTTAAAAGCCAGGGAAATGATGATCCTACCAAGTTACAGCCAAAGCCAGAGGTAAAGAAGTTAGAGGGGTTCTAAAAGGGGATTTCAAACCCTAAATCCCCACCTCTCAGATCGGTGTGCTTCCATCCTGTCAGGCCTTACTTTAAATCCAGTCCTGACCACAGCCTGAGATTTTGGCTGTGGGTGCACTGGAGCCTGTCTCTGTAGAATTAGCTGCAGGTGCTTGGTTGTGTCTTTGAAAACCCAACCCTTCACTGACATCCCTCCTGCCCTTTCTTCCTTGACTACGTAAGGAGTCCTGATACGCGTGTCTGTCCCCTTTTGGTTTTGTTCCCTTCAATACAATGGAGAAAGGAACTACATTGAGGGCTTCATCCTACTTCCATTTCCACAAACCTTGGGATCCCTGCCAAGGCCATGACTTCCACTGAATGCTACTGGGTAACTCTCACCTCTAAAAGCAAACGTGTTTACATCCGTTACTCTTTTGGGAAAGGAACACAAGCTGGTCCAGAAGCTACAACTGTCCATTCTGCAGCTAAATAATGTGATTTTAAAAACCATTATCAGGACATACTTTGCTTTCTTCATAAGAAGTTTTTCTGAGTCGGGGTAGTGCACCAAGATCTCGTTGAGTGTTTTCTTGTCCAGAATGAAAAGGTTGGCAAAACCGTGAGCCACCACGTTGGCAGTCCTTCGGTTTCCTCCTCCTGCAGCTAATAGGCTGGAATGAAAAGAAACATCATCAGTCACAGAGTTACTTGCCCTAATGAGGAATCTCTTTGCTGGTGGCTCTCAAAGTCATGGTGAAGCTCACTTAATGTACCCAACTGTTCTATGGGATGGTCTGCAAAGGCCCTTTGCTGTTGGGATTATAACTAACTTCTTGCCTCAGGCAGGCACTTTGTCACTGCTGCTCAGGAGGATGGAGATGCTAAGGGCTGGGAAAGGTCTTGCTGGATAAAGACATTTCTCCCAAGAGACACAAGGACTGCATTTGTCTTAGTCCTCATGTGAACTTGGCATTTCCTCCATTTTATCGTTGAAAATGATTTACATCAGCAGTAGAGCAGCACAAGTCCGGTATTATTGAAGAAAATATTTACTGTGAATGAATGGTTCTCCAAGAAATTTAATTTTCCCCAGTGAGTAACTTCTGTGGGACTCTGGTTTTCAGTTTTTTCACGTCTCATGTTTGAATGTTGGCAACTTGAATGATACGGATTAGGAAGGGCTTTCAAGCTGACAGTTACAAATGTGTCTGCCAGGAAAAGAAGGCTGTTCCGTTTTGAAAGTAAGGCATTAGACAAGTTCAGTGAGCAGCCGTTGGCCGTGGGAAGGGTACCCACATAGAAATGAGATGATGTACAAATAAAAGTTAAATTGTTCATCTTTAAGAGAAGTTACGTTTTGTTCTTACTACTAAAATTGCTTTATCACTGTATTCAAGGAGATTCACCCTAAAAATTTGTCCCTTAAATATTTCCCAGTGAGTTAATATTTTTAGAGAATATTTAGTAATCTCTCAATTTAGAAGGTATTAACAAAGGATATTCTGGAACCCATAAAACATTAATTAATACATATCCCAAATATTAATCATGGATATAGAGATATTTGTTTTAATATTAAATATATGTATTAAACATATTTATAAATATTAGATCACACAGATAAAATATTGTATTTGATTGATAAAGGCTGGTATAAGACCTCTGCAACTGTGTGTGCAAGGCTGTTTTTACAGACACACACAGTGTTTTTCTGCAAGCCAACCCAAGGCAGCAATCAATACATGAACTCAAGCTGAAAATGTGGCATATCGTCTTCTTTTTAAACAATTCTGTACAATTCCTCAGATACAATAAAACTGTTTGCACAGTGAGAAAATCAGCTAAAGAGAATTGCAAACGGCCTTTGACTTGTGAGGAATCACTTCACAACAAGTCATGGAACAATCCTTCTCAGGCTTTCCTAAGGGAAAGCTCGTGTTATCCAGGCAGACTAGGACTGAAGAGATCAGCTTTTCCATGATGCTGCTGATGCCAGGTGGGTTTCACAGGTAAGGGCAGTCCTTGCTCAAACAGGGTGGCTAAGGACAGCATTATGGACTTCATGATGGAATCTGGTTTGGCTAGTGTGCTAAGGGTTACAGGATAGACCAGTTTTTTAAAATTAACTACATTTGCCTTGCAGTGGTTCTTGATTCTGTTAATATCTATAGTAATAAAGAAACTTGCTTTTTTTTTTTTTTTCCCCTCTTTCATTTTGACTCCAGTTGTTAGCCTGACATGCTGCAATACCAGTAGGAGATAAGGGCTGGAGCCCCTCTGCTGTGAGGACAGGCTGAGAGAGCTGGGGTTGTTCAGCCTGGAGAAGAGAAGGCTCCAGGGAGACCTTAGAGAGCTTTCCAATATCTGAAGGGGCTACAGGAGAGCTGGGGAGGGACTCTTTGTCAGGGAGTGCAGTGACAGGACAAGGGGGAACGGTTTTAAATTGGAAGAGGGGAGATTTAGATGAGATACCAGAAAGAAATTCTTCCCTGTGAGGGTGGTGAGACACTGGAACAGGTTGCCCAGAGAAGCTGTGGCTGCCCCATCCCTGGAGGGGTTCAAGGCCAGGCTGGATGGGGCTTGGAGCAACCTGGTCTGGTGGGAGGTGTCCCTGCCCAGGGCAGGGGGGTTGGAACTGGATGATCTTTAAGGTCCCTCCCAACCCAAACTATTCTATGGTTCTGTTATTCTATGGTAACTTTTGAGTTCTTATGCTAGCAAATTTAATTTAGAGGTATAAAGTTGTCAAAGTGATGACTCGGCTTATATTTTTTTCTTTTTTTTTTTTTTTCCCCTAATAGCTGATCCCTGTAGGAAGCTGCTGCTCATTGAAATTGGGCAATCGATCCAGGGAACGGTGTGTGTTATCAGCTGAACACACAGGGCTGTGGCAGCTCAGCTCAGCTCAGCAGCTCCGGGCACACGGGGAGAACTGGTGAAGTCAGGAAAGGGAAACAGGTCTGGACCCTGCCTCTGAGCAGGATGTCAAACCCCAACGGGCAGAAGGATATAGACCTGATGGAGAGGGTCCAGAGAAGGGCCACAAGGATGCTCAGGGGGTTGGAGCACCTCTGCTACGAGGACAGGCTGAGGGAGCTGGGGTTGTTCAGCCTGGAGAAGAGGAGGCTCCGGGGAGACCTAATAGCAGCCTTCCAGTACCTGAAGGGGGCTACAGGAAGGCTGGGGAGAACCTGTTTAGAAAGGCCTGCAGTGACAGGACGAGGGGCAATGGCTTCAAGCTGGAGGGGAACAGATTTAGACTGGAGATGAGGAGAGGGTTCTTCACTGTGAGGGTGGTGGAGCACTGGGACAGGTTGCCCAGGGAGGTGGTTGAGGCCCCATCCCTGGAGATATTCAAGGAGAGGCTCGACGAGGCCCTGGGCAACCTGGTCTAGTTGGGGGTGTCCCTGCTGACTGCGGGGGGGTGGGACTAGATGGCCTTTGGAGGTCCCTTCCGGCCTGGGCAATTCTATGAGTCTATGATTCATTGAAAAGCAGCAGCTGCTGCTTCGGGAGAAATCCTGGGCCAAAGTGGAAAGTGTAATCTTTCACACGGCTAAATGCTCCATTTAGTTTTGATTTTTTTTTTTTTAAATAAAAGTTAAGGTTACAAACCAGCTGAAAGGCTAAAGCTGAGACCAAACATTTAGAGAGATTCCTGTCAAAAATGTACATATAAAGGAGAAATGTTTCCGTTTTTCCAGAATTACCATTTTCTAATAGGAAATTGTTCTAGTGAAGTATCAGTAAATGGATGAATGAGGACATCTGGCTTAAAGTGTAAATTTCTCTGGGCTAATGAAGTGTTGTGTTACAGCTGAATTTCTCTTTCTCAATTGTCTGTGCAGGCAGGCTCTCATTAAGGCACCAATCTGTTTGCCTCTGATTCTGAGATTACTTTGCTTCCCCAAACTGATATTTTCTATACGGAAAAGTAGTGATGAGGGTAAGATGTTAATTGGAAGGCAACTCCTATTATTTAATCTGTTTCTGTAATAATTTTCAGGGATGAGATTGGCAAAGGACTTGCTTGAACATTTTGTCTCGCGTTGGCCTTCTAGTGTGATTCCGGGGAATTATTTGAAGTAAACATTTTTTGTTTCCTTCGACTCCTTTGCCCTCAGAGCCTTTTTAAGCATCATTTACATAAATTTTGAACAGAGTGAGATTAAATAGCATTTGTCTTACATATCATGTAGTTAAACTGCTTGGAATGAGGTGGATTTATTTCTTTAAACACATCTTGAATCAGAAATGGGAAGGAAATCAGTCTGATATCAGGTGATAACCACGCCACAAATACTGAGGGGAGAACTTGGAGGTGCTAAATGAAACTTATGTGTGTGTTACGTATCTGGGCTGCTGTAGTTTTTCCTTTAATCTTTTCAGTATCCAGCCCTTCCTGAAAGCTGGTGCATGCTCAGCCTTCCCACATAACTTACAATACAGCTTTTTTTATTTTTTTTTTGAGGCTTTGCTCAGGTATTACCTTGTCACGCAGAGAAATATGTTTCAAATCACCTTCTCTCAAAGAACTGATATAATTTCACTTCCCCACTCACTGAGAAAAGCCTGTATCTCTGGGTTATATCAGGTGTTCTCCACTTGAGGTCTGGCGTGTTCTACGTGCCCATCACTGGACAAAGGGGAATATTTCCCCCACCACAAAGGGGGACACGAGTGAAAGATAACTGTAAACCTGGCCCAGAGCTGATTACTGCTTTTCAAAAGGCAGATTAAAGCTACCAGCAAGAGGATTAACAATAACAGGAAGGCAGCTGGAAGAAATCAAGAATCCAGTTTATCACATGCAGCAGCACATGTATTTTATTACTTTTCCTCCGGCCAACCTCAGCAGGGGATGCAGCGTTTAAAATCTAGCACTTGTTGTCTAATTGGGGAACATAACACATAAGAATTAATGGATTTTGCATAGCAACCACATGGAGAATATAAAAAACATTTGTAACTACCTGAGAAAAATTTTCTCATCCCAGACAAGCTCACACCCAAAAATCTGGTCCGTCAGCCTTTTTGTTTTGCATGCTCTTAAAAAAATACATTTTCAAATATGGAAGCCTGATTTTTGGCAACTTAATCCCTACTTCAGCTCCTAAATGAACCCATCTTATTTGCTCTTTTAGATTTTTTTTATCCGCTTTGTTGGAAATTATAAATAATTTCTACCATCTGCTGTCTAAGGGCACCTGCTCCTACTATACAGGCAAGAAAATGCATTTTCTCCTGCTATATTGCAGACCCTAGACCAAGAAGATGTGTTAAATCTTTCCAGTGCAGAAGGGGAAATCTGTATATTTCTGTGTACATTGCCCAAAACACTGGTCTGGAATGTTGCTGGATTAGTCTCTGATGCTTCACTTAAATTTCCCTTTGCTGACCTGCATCTCCGCGTGTAGTGTCCTCTTACTTGATCCTGCCAACTTTCTGGCCCCCCATGGTAGCTGTTGTGCTTGCCACAGAGAGGTCAAACAACCCTTGATTATTTGAGCAGTTCTAAAGAAGGAGTTACAAATAGTGATGGACCTACCTGATCTCCCCAAATACAGCTCCTGCTCGGAGTGTAACCAGAACTTTGGTACCATCGGGGCCTCCAAGGACTTGAACTTCCCCCTGTTTGATGATGTACATCTCTCTGCCAATCTCCCCCTGGGAACACAAACACGTGAAGATCTCAGTGGGTTTTTGTCAGAATAACCTGCCAAACACTTCTTTAAATATCTTTCCCCTTTCTTACAGCCAAGTTTTCCAGTATTATGGAGAAATACACGTTTTGCTCTGCTTTTCCTAGCACCGAGCACAAGTGCAAGGAGTGACTTTGGCGGATACAATCGTGACATCGGGCAGTAATTGAACAGGAGTAAAACTATCTAGGCAAGTTTGGAAAAAGAAGACCAGATAATAAGCAGGATTGTAGCTGTCATCTCCATCAGCTGTTCTGGTGGAAACTGAAGTAATTCAGCAGCATGTTTAATAACAAGGAAGTGCAAAAAAGCCTACGCTTTATGGTCTAAAAAGCTTCGGTTTTTACACTATGATTTCTAGTCATCACTTACCTCACTTAAAAGGAAAGTAAGAATAAACAATCACTGAAAACTTTGTCTACTTTTCTGGAAGTCACTGGAGGGTTTAAGAGATTATTAATTTATTTATCTTCCTCCACAGGATCTACTAGGATTCGAAGCATGACATCAGTATAGACAATGAAAAGCAGGCAAACTGGAGTAATAGAATGGCTTTCACAAACGTGACCTGAACAGTCTTCACAATATCTCAATAAAACAGGCAAATAAATATTTTTCCATTGGTGCCTCTGGAGCAGTTGAGGCGAAGCAGCAATTTAATTTTTAAAGTAAAAAGGCAACTGCAACAAAGCCAGGACCGAAAAGGAAGGGCTCGCACTTCCTGTCCCTTCACTTGCACCTCCAAACCTGCGTGTTGGAGCCTCCTCGGCGAGGTGTGATGAGGCCAACATCCACCCAGGAGGACGTAGTCCAACAGGGGTTCATTCCCTCCTACATGTTACAGCATTAATAGGGCTACTATGGTTGTTGGTGACATAGTAGATCCATACAAGGGAGAGGCCTTTTAGCCCTGAATCAAGCTGTAATAAATGGATACTTCCATTTCTCATCATCCATCCTTCTTGAGAACTGTTTGCATCTGACTTCAGTTATCAAGACCTTCAGTCTGTTACTGTCATTTGCTGTCTCTGTTGTGGCAGAGTCCCAGCCACAGTCTAAGATCCTTTCACGCCGTCCATTGAACAAGCAAATTATTCTTCCACCCTTCCTAGCCAACAGTAATTCTGGGTTCCATCTTTGAAGGGACACACCTGATCCTTTGGTGCGTTCACAAATGTTTGATTTCCAGCACTGTGGAGTCAGTGGGACTAACTCAGCATTTGGGAAGAGGACCAGATGCTTAACTCTTGGAGGAAGCAGGACCTTAGTGAACATACGGGACCAGACAAGTTAAGGGGTTCTGATGGCCACTCCTGAGTGTGGGATGAAGAGTGGGTCAGTTGCCAGAAGAGTAACAGTACTGAGATGTCACCCTCCCCGTGCTTTAATTACGTTCAACACCTGCCTCTCAGTACGTTTACGTGCCTTCTGAAAAGACCCTTGGGCTCAGCTGGTGAGAAGCTGAGCTATCTACCTGTGTTTCTGGGAGGTCTGGTTTAGTGATGATGCTCCTTGTTTGTTGTGTGGGTGTCTATTTTTGTCAGTCAGGTTGACGGTTGGACAAGATAATCTTTAAGGTCCCTTCCAACCTAGAAGATTCTGTGATTCTGTGTTGCTGTAAGGCCATGTTCGAGCAAAAATGCTAAGAGAAGACAGGGTTCTTTGCTAGGGGACAGCGTGACAGCACTCATCTGGAAGTCTGGAGGTGGCTCAAAGCTGGGAGTGAAGGCAGAGCAAGGTGAGATCCTGCTGGAAGGAGCGGTACGGGGTGCAGTGCATTTTCTACATTCTTTGATAATTCCGCTTAAGAGTTTCTGAATACACAAATGAAGCACATGAAAGCATCACAGATTGAGATCTGTAGGCTAGGTTTGCATGTAGGTATGTATTAAAAATTAAACTTGCTCCATTTTAAATACTAAAAATTCATGCTGTATCATTAGATAAGCCGTATTTACATTAAGTACTTTTCCATATGACTATAATTTTATGTTTGATAATATAAGTAATAAAACCCATATCGTCTTGTTCTAGGCTGAAACTTGAGAGCACTTTTGTTATTAATACAGAGAGTACCTTAATTACTCTCATGCTACCTAATGCATTCAGGATTAATTTTGTTTAAGGGACGCTGTTGACTGATATCTGAACTCTTTTTCTAAAATACGTACCGTAATTATTCTTTGAAAGAGAAAACACTGCTCACCTTTTTGCAGACAAAGTCACCAGGTAAATACACAATGGATTTCAACCTTAGCAGCATGTCGTATATCATCTGGGTATCGCACCCCTGTTAAAACAGAATTGGTTGCTCTGTTAATTCAGTTATTATTAATCACAAGTGATTACCAACAAGATGTAAATGATCCAGGGACTCGTAAGTGGAATGCAAACCCAAAACATCATAAAGATCAGTTTTTAGAGCAGAGAAAAGACTGAAAAAATGTCATTTCAGATGCTTATAAAGTTCCTTTTGGTTGAATATCTCTTTGCTTTTTGAGCAGTAAGCTTCTGTACATCCAGATTTGCTGTGGAAGCTCTGTTAGTGCTATGTTCATAGCTTTATGGGTAAAACCAAATTAGTGTTAAGATTAGCGTATGTCGAGTCTACATCTAAAAATGCAGTGTCTCCTTGGTTTTGTTGTCAAAAATCCAGTCCTAAGTACCACAGTTAAATTGTGCCTCTGGAAAATTGTCGTGATAACAAAGAGAAAGCTCCTTTGCACAAAATGTTACTAAAAAATGGCATTCACTACATCAAAGTTAGGTTGATGGAGCACACAGCACCAGTGATCTCCCGGGCAGCCATCGGCAGGACAAGACAAGGTGGACCGTATTAAAAAATACATTATTCTATGTCTGACTCTTGAGATTAGTTCTATTCTGAAATCACTTACAGTCTGACAAACATCAACCTTAATATATCGATACAAAAGTGTCTTAATCTCATTTTCCTTGTTTTTTTTTTTAATCTCTGACCCAAAAAATTCAAAGGCAGGCACTTGGCTTTGTCCTGACGTGTCTCCATTGCCTGAAATATTTCTTAGGCTTATTTGCCTTGCATATTAAAAAGCACGTTCCTAAGTGTTGCAAGATGCACAGTACAAAGGTTTCTGTCTCAGGAATACCACACATTTCTGCATTCTCCTCTGAAACTACTTGCTTTGAATAAGTCGACTTTGTTGACGATGGCGAAGTTCACATCAATCGCAATGGCTAATTGCATTTTGGTTGGCATCTGCTCCAGTAATTCTGATTCGTCTGTAAAAGACAAAAAAAAAAAACCCAAAACCACAAAATCTGTTAGAAAACATAAAGAAAGAATGAAAGACCGTCCATAAAAATGAACACCGTACAGGAAAATAACTTAATGCAGCTATTCTAGGATTTATGATTTCAAAGGAGGAAGCTGCTAATATACTTTTGTCTTTTAAGTTACATATCCTGTCTATCATGTAAGTTAATAGAATTTATGAAGCAGTAAGCGTCAGATTGCTTTTTCTTCTCTGAAGTAAAGAGGTTTTTCTTTTCAGAAGTAAAGTGAATCCCCTCCTCTCACTTCTCACGTGCAATTGAGAAGAGGAGAAATGTGAATTTCACCCTCTCTCTGTATCTACACACACACACTCTCACTTGGAGTTGCTACGTCAGTGGAATGGGAAGGCCTTACCCAGCATTCCCTGAGAGTCCCAGGTGTATTCATACCAGGTCCTAACACGATTTTGGACAACTCTTGGGATAGAGTAAGTGTTCATGTAGGAGACAGTGTTGTCCATACTGGAGCGGTAGTAGGTCTGTCCTGCTGTAGCCGCTCCGATGACATCTCTCATCTGCAAACAGCACTGGGTGTTACTACACATTTCAGGCAAAACCAGCCTCAATCTGAATATCTTGTCAACAACATGTGAAAAGAATAAAACACTTCGTTTGCAAAATCACTGATTAATTCTACCTTCAGCTGCATGTTTTGAATAGGTGCTTCGTCTGCTTTTTCAGAAGCATTGCAGATTTAATCTAGTTGTGTTGGAAAGTCTACATTTATGGTTTTTAAAGGAATAATTTGTGGGTTTCAGCTTATTCTTCTGTCTCCTATTTCTTGACATGGATGAAAAATACAGATAATGCTTTTCTTACAAATCCATAATGGTGCTGCTCTGCGTTTGGTGTGCAGTGGAAGGCAGAAGTGAAGCAAAGTGGGCTAAATGTCTCTGATAACACCAGCTGGCACCACAGGGATGGAGACCCTGCCACTGTGTAAATAGTTAAGAGAATCTAGATCACAACTAAAAACGCCCTTTGAGCTGCAAGGTAACCTTGAAGATTGTAGTGCAGGAACACCATTTAACCTTCCGACACAAAGGGAATTTTGGTTTGTGGAAATAGATGAGTTAATGTTCATAGATATTCCTTCTTCCAAAGCATAACCATCTAGGCAAGCTTTTAGTGGAATGGTTTCCTCTTGCAGTGGCCAAGGATTAATGTGCCAGTGGGATGAATTCTGCTTTATATCAATTGGGTGCAGGAGGAATAACAATTTTTAGGCAAGTGTGCTAAAGCGGGAAAAACTCAGTAATTTTAAGGGCTCTTTGTAAACGGGGAATTACAACAAACTGCAGTGAAGCTGTTTGTGTGTTAAGATTTAAGGTCTAAGTCTGCAAATGACTATTCTGGTTACAAAAACTAATCTGCAGAATCTACTTCAGGAATGGCGCTTTCATTGACAGATCTCTCAATTTAGGGAAAAAATATAAATACGCAAACTCTGAAGTTTAATCCAATATACCAGACTTCAATAGTTTTCCACAAGAAATATTTTATACAAAATACTTTGGTTTATTTTTGGTAAATTTTGTGGATGAATTTAAAATCCTGTAGGCAAGAGTTCTGTCTCTTCTTGCATTTCAAAACAGCAAGAGACATAATGCAGTTTTTCAGTGTTTGATTGAACTTTTCGAATCCTGTATCCGAAATAAAAATTAAATTTCAGTTTTCAGCTTTATTTTTTCATAATAATTCTTCAAATAACAAGCATGTACAAATCAAAGTCTGGAATGATTTCTAGAGGAATCCGATAAGACATGGTCTTACGTAGGAACCGCAGCATTTGTTTTTCTGTAGGCAAGGTGTTTAAAAACCTATGGATCTAAAGCCCAAGTTTAAGAGTTACAAGCCAGAAATATTTCAGATATATTCATTTGGAAAAATAACTGATTTTCTGTGCTATGGGCTTCTTTTTTTTCCTCCTGCAAAAGGAGAACAAAGAAAAATAGAAACCAGTTAATTTTCAGGTTACCAAATATATTGTAATTTATGGGAGAGAGCAGAATTCTAGTTTGAAAAATACATTCTATTGGCAGTAGTATCAAGCGTGACATTCAATATGTTTTACATATTAATATCACACCTACAATTGCAATTTTTATACAAGTTTAACAGTATAATGTGAATGTCAGGAACTGTCTCCTTGGCTATGAGGAAGAAAAAAAGGAATTTTACATAGTTCCAAGAATCACCCATGTCCTGCAGAGTCTTGGCTTTAAATCAGCTTGTGTGCAGTAGGGCTACAAAACTGGGAACTGATTAAACACATGTATTTGTTAGAATAACAAGCATGGATGACAGTTAAATAGAGGGACATTCAGATGGAAACTAAACTCCATTCAATGGAATATATTATCACTACATCACAGTAATTTGAACGTATCTCGTTATCAATTTTTCTGATGTACCTGACCAATTAAGCTGGAGAAGACAAAGACGCCCAGGAAAAAATTCAGCAGTTGGAAAATGATCTCAAACAGAGTTTGTGGCTCTGGAAGGCCACCAATGGTGATTAATGTACGCACGGCCCAGTAGTAACACCTCAGGTACCTGTGGATACAGACAACACCTCTGTCATTGACTGGAGGTACTTGTGGGGGTGAAGTGAAGCGTCTACCTACCGCAATTGGGTCTGTCAGTGATGCTTTTCAGTCCAAAGGAAAGACCTCAGCACTTTTTATAAAGGGTTATGATTTTCCAAACGACCCAGTTGTGTAAATCACCTTGAGCTGAATGTTCTCCCTGACAGCAAAATGAGACTATATGGGAAATGCAGCAGTTACTTCGTGTTCTCCAGTAACTCTACGCAGGATCACAGAAGGCTTCAGTAACGAATTGCCAAGGTGGACATCACAGTGTTAGAAAGCTCCCAGTGAAGATGCTATGGTGTTAAAAGCAGTACAAATGTGTTAGAGACTTCCCAGAGTTTATCTCTAGCATAATGACACACGGCTGAAGGTCTCTTCAGACACAAGTGTGAAGCCTTATGATGGGCACAACAAATGCAATGTCATCCTTCCCATGTCCATTCATTTTCCTCCCCCTTTACTCACACAGGTCTTCCTCCCATTCTGTTTCTGAGCACCCTTCACTGCCTCTGCCTCCTGGGTGATATCAAACAGAAGTTACGTGTTTCCACAAGCTGTGGGTTAATCCAGCATCTCCAAACAACTTCATTTACTGAGCACTGAAAGGTTGACTCCTGCATTAACTTCTCCTAGCGGCTGGCCTCCACCACCCCTTCTGTCACCTACACAAACACTTTCGTGCCTTCTTCACTGCTTTCCCTCATGCTTGGGCAGAGCTGCCCATCAATGGCTACAAAACCACCTTGTTAACACTCTTGAAGACTTTCCTCAGAACTCTCTTGATCTAAAAGCCAAATAACAGCAGTGAGTAATGATCAGCCCCTAAGACTCTTCTTCAACGTGTGGCTTATATTGAGTCCTTCCCTGTATCCATCTGCTGTCCCTCACTTCTCATACCTGAATTGTGAGCTCTTTGGCCAAAGACCTCTTGTTCTATCTGTGGAGACCTCTTTGAACAACCTTGTGCATGACAAAGCCCATTGCATTCAAGTGGTGTACTTCTATTGGTATGATAACACAAATTTATGAAAAATGATTTTTTTTTAATTTTTTGAGGATAGTCATGCTAACTTTTTTTGATATATATACAAAGTGCCTTGGCATCTCTAAGCTTCTGGTTTAAATTTTGTTCTAGAAGATGGCACCACTAGTAATGCAGCATCCCCCATACAGCGCAGTGGGGATTAATTAGTTCAAATCATTGCCATGAACGTCCTATCATTTCCTTCTTTTCTGAGCAAAAGAGTATTTGGTTTATGAATATTTTTAAAGGCCCCCTGCCTTAGAATCTGACTTCCTAAGTCTCTGTACAATCAGACCTCAGCATCACTAATGATTATGAGTGGAAGTTTGCTTTCTTTAATTGTACAATGAGATTTTCTATTATTTCATCTGTGACTATTGCTTCTGAAGCAATGCAGATTCCTTCTATTTGCTGGATTTTATTGAGTTTGAAATAAAAAGCCAAAACCAGAAGAACTACTTTTGGAGATGTTTGTTTTGAAATAGCCTGTCTTGTATGCATCTTCTCATGCCTACTCTGAATCTGAGGCCACCTGATCTTCTTGCAGATTTCAGATGTGTATTTTAATTTGGTTGCCTCCATTTTTAAACTCTTCTCTTATTAAGATATGAACTCCACTCCTGTTAATAAATGGTCCATGTAACAATACAATTGGAGGGTCAGTTTTGTGTAAATATGAGAAAATAAACTCACAATAACGACCAACGCCAATGAGTTTTTTTTAAATCACTGAAAAGTGCTTCCAAGTCTTTCACCTAAAATGTCAGGCTTTACCAAGCAATTGATTTTTGCTTTTCATTATCAAGTCACTTTTTTTCTCAGTTGCAGATTAATGAAATGCAGTAACAATGATCACTTTTATCATAGTTTTCTAATTTTAGTTGTTAACATCCAGGAGTGGCTGTTTCCATTCAATGCCCTTAAGTCAAAAGATTTGTTGCGCATCTGCCATCATAGAATTTTTCTTTGTTAGGGGTGCAAAAGGCACAGCTGGATTACACCACTATAATATTTTCACTCAGGTTCAAAAAAAATCATCACCTATGCAGGCTTCCAGCAAAGTATGTGTAAGTGGCAGCTTTCTCTTACACTTCTGTAGCGTAAATCAATAGTAAGAAAAAGCCTCAGATCTGTCTTGGAAGAATTGAGGATTTAAGCATAAAATAATGTCCCTGGTCTGTCTGAAGGGAATTATCATATGAAGTGTATTAATACCATATTCATTTGCCATCACCGAGAATTCTGTAGTGCTTGAAACATGCATAATTTATGAATATAAGACTAAAGAAATTAACATTACTTCTGTGCTAGTTACTATAGAAAATGAAAGTAATTAACTGCCTCCCTCACCCCCAATGGCCTTGGGTGCCAAGCTTGCCAAGTCCACCATCATAGACAATATAATCTTCATTCTGGGAATGTCTACAAAGAAGGAAAACAGCTCCAAAGGAATTTAGGGGTCACATTCTTCTTTGCTGTGTTGCAAATCCAAAACGTGAGAAGTTGTTTTCAGACCTGCCCACCCCTTTCAGAAGCTGTAGTTAATACATTAAACTCTTCTGCAATTTTACTTCAAAAGAAACTTTCTACTGGCAAAGTGACATGATACTCACTATCTCTTAAGCACAGGTTTTGTATTTTCTCCATTTACTCACTGTATTGTTTTTCTTTTAATCGGAAATAAAAGTTACACAGTTGAAATGTAAAGCAGCTTTTTTTTTCTTTCTTTTTTTTTTTTTTTTTTGCCTAAGAAGGGGAGAAATGAGGTTGTAAATTTTGTTTAAGGAAAGCCAGAAAAAACCAGACTTCTATTTCAACAGCGTTAGCAGCTCTGCTTCCTACTAGCTGGTGTCTGGAACCCATCACTGCTCACCACATGGCTACCCAGCCTGCTATAAAAACCCTGTTGAAGCAAACACCACCAGACAAGAAAGGGCTTTTCCCTCTCCACAACACGGAGAGCATGTTTATCCTTCAGGCAATTAAACTACTAGATTTTTCCCTAAAATAAGCCCTAGGTAGGAAAACATTCAGCAACACTGCAAATAAGATACTTTGTATCAACAGAAATATCTTTTCCATAAAAAGCCATTTCAGAATGGATTCATGGAATGAAGTTCTTCCATGGTTTTGGTTAACACAGGTAAATCAGATCTTTATGTGTGTGGCTATCAGATTTTAGGGTGATAGTCACACATTCATTTCAGCCCAGGGAAGCACTATTTCAGGGCTGTGACAATTTCACTCCTCTCAGATGGCAGCCATTTTAAGTAAAGAGCTGGCCTTTATAAGGCCAGTAAGTTCACAGACGACACCAAGCTGGGTGGCAGTGTCGACCTGCTGGAGGGTAGAGAGGCTCTGCAGAGGGATCTCGACAGGCTGGATCAATGGGCTGAGACCAACGGGATGAGGTTCAACAAGGCCAAGTGCTGGGTCCTGCCCTTGGGTCACACCAACCCCCTGCAGCGCTCCAGGCTGGGGGCAGAGTGGCTGGAGCTGCCTGGCAGAAAAGGACCTGGGGGTGTTGGTGGACACCGGCTGAACAGGAGCCAGCAGTGTGCCCAGGTGGCCAAGAAGGCCAATGGTATCCTGGCCTGTGTCAGGAGCAGTGTGGGGAGTAGAGCCCGAGAGGTGATGGTCCCCCTGTACTGGGCACTGGTGAGGCCTCACCTTGAGTACTGTGTCCAGTTTTGGGCCCCCTACCATAAAAAAGACATTGAGGTGCTGGAGCAGGTCCAGAGAAGGGCAACAAAGCTGGTGAGGGGTCTGTAGAACAAGTCTTATGAGGAGAGGCTGAGGGAGCTGGGGGTGTTCAGTCTGGAGAAGAGGAGGCTGAGGGGAGACCTTATCGCGCTCTGTAACTACCTGAAGGAGGGTAGAGAAGAGAACAGGTAGAGAAGCGGGGGTCGGTCTCATCTCCCAAGTCACAGGAGATAGGACAAGGGGAAACGGCCTCAAGTTCCTCCAGGGGAGGTTTAGATTGGATATTAGGAAACATTTCTTCACGGAAAGGGTTATCCAGCATTGCAAAAAGACCTACTTTGATAATTTTTCTTTGATAAATTTTCTTGTGGTTTGAATGCTGTGTACAACTCTTAGTTACAAACTGAAGTTCACCATTTAGTATGCCCACTCAGAAACATATATAGAACCAAATTGATAAGGGAAAGTGTTGTCTGTGTATTCTCTTTAGCCTGGAAAGAAAAAAAAATAAATCCTAGAAGTGCTGACATTTTTAGTAACTGGTTTTGGCCATAACTAGCAACATTTTATGGACACAGCAGGGATCCTCCATAAAACATTCATGCCACTAAATCAGTGTCAGATCATTTGCTTTGGGTCAGTGCAATCTGAGACCACTAGAATTTTGATTTATTTGTCGAACTGCTTACTGTCATTTATTTTTCAATTAGCTAAGAAGTTATGTTTGTCTTCTCTTCTTTCTGAATGTGCTCCCATTCTAAATCAGACCAATGGCATATTTTGCTTCAAATATTGGCAGCGCTGACTGCTACGTGAAAGGAAATGACATCTGTGCTGCTGTGCCATAATACAGGTATTGCAGTGCTGGTTCCTTTTTCTGACAGATTTTTCTTGAATTGTCCTTAATTTCTGGTTTCCAAAGAAATGAATATACCTAGAAGCACCTTGTCTCATATGTTTAAATTCACGTTATCTCTAATAATTCCTAATGCTCACACAGTGCCTTTCTGTCAAAAATCCCCAAATATTTGACAATCAGACAATACATAATGCCTGATTCTCTAAAGTGATGACTGTCCCATACAGAAGGCATTTGCTCTTAGTGGAGTACCAAGCTATACTTTACAAAATGCAGCTCAACATGGGATATTCTCTGGGGTTCCATATACATGGGACCATATAATTCACTATGAGATAGATACTAAAGTCATACATTCACCAACCAACGGATATATTTAAATATGCATTTCATTTCTATGTCTTAGTTTAATGCAGACCTTGATTTATCAGTTTATTGTTTATAAAAAATTCTGTCCTAAATCCCACGTGATTTCAGTGTGACATCCTTTGAGAAGTGTTTCTGTCTTCTTGTAGGAAAGGTATCACAAAATATTAAAAAACCTGGTCATTGCCTCTGGGAAAAACTACGTTGTCTGTGATCAAGCTGGCAAATAATTTCTACCAATTGCTTCCCTGGTGAAATGTAAAATATTCTTGTCCATGAAAAACAGGAAGACTTTCTTGCCTGTTCTCTAGGCTGTTCTGAAGAGGCATTAAAAACTTGACGATCAGTCTTCAAGTAAGTGCTCTACTTTCCACATTTTTAGGTTGCTCAGTTACCTTATTTTTTAATTATGAGGCAAGTATTCCCAAGAATGACATTAAGAAAAATAGCTATAATGGAAATTCGTTCTGCATTTTTCGTGTCAGATTTCTGGAAGCCTTGATCCTGCGAATAAATACCTGTGTGTAACTTCACTGACATAAGTGGTCCCGCTGAGCTCCAGCCCCTGCTTGCACGTCTGGCTGCAGTACCCAAGCTGTATTTTAGCACTGTGCAGAAACTTCAGCTGTACCATTTTTTTTTGAGAGAGAACCCCAATTAATAAAAGGCAATGCTGCTTTACACAAAGTGTGTTTTACTCTCAAAGGCAATTTTCTTCCCCTTCAAGACAGTGACTTCACACCAAACTCGTGAAGTCTGGCGAAATTACACGGAAGATGAGCATGTCTCCAAGAGAAACATGAAAAGTTATTTAAAGGCTGATTTATGCCAGCAGTAGTATATTATATGTGGTTTTTCGAAGAATGTAATTAATGAAAAAATTGAGCTTCTGTGGCTTTAAGTGTATTATGGCCTTTGAAAGAAATGAACAGTCATACATCTGAACCTACTAGATATGTTTTTATATAACTACACACAAAATATATTATGACTTTGCTATTTTCTCTTTCTTCCTCTCCATCATCTTAATGAATGTCCCTTCCTTGGCAGCCAGCCTACTGCTGTCACCAGGAGTTTGTGGAAAAGTGTGCCAGTATCCAGTCCTTCCCGCTGGAGACACTCTGCCACATGCATGAGATCAGAGAAAGTGGGTGGAATTTTTTCAGATCAATCACCGTGGTTTTTAGAGGCACTGAAATGTTGCATTTTAATAACACAATGCTGTGTGGCATGAAAAAAAAAACTGTGCCTCTTATTCCTTTGAGGGATTGTTCTACAATCCTTCTAACAGTTCCCATGTGCATATGCAATCAGTAAGTTTAATTTATGACCCTTATTGCTTTCTAAATGTTTAATTAAGTTAGTGCTTAGCACTGACTCATAAACCTATAAAAGCTGGAAGTGGTAAACTGATTATTCACTACACCTGCCCTCCAAATATGGGTTAGTGCTGAAAGCTGCTAATCAGCAGTTACGGTGCTAAAAGTTTACTATCCAAGCGGTTGTAAATAAGGGCATACCCTGCAAGAAAGGGCACGGGGAAAGGAGGGGAGTGCAAAAATGAATAAAATAAAAAAAAAATATCTCTTGCAAGAGAAAAGGACTTACATGTTTCCTTTGCCATCGTACACCCATCTAGTGCTGCCGAGTCCTTCATAGTCTGAAGCCCAGTAATACACGCACGCGTTAATGTGCAACATAAACAGCAAGTATCCAGTTGTTCGAATGACCCTATAAAAGTCAACAAATTCCTGTGAAACAACACATCTTTCCTTTATTTTAATATGGAGCCTATTGCTTTTTTGGATCAACAGTGTTTGCATTAAGCATCCACTAAGTAGTTCCCCACCTGTGAAAAAATACCTGTCTCTCGCGTTTGTTCGAGGTCAAATAAAAATCTTTCCTACAATATTTGACACAGGGTAATTTTCAAATTATGATTCCCTGACGATTTCATAATCCACTTCTTTAACCGGCTATGAATATTTACAGAAAGGTAGAAACTGTATTAATGAGGCTAGAGGGTTAATGCGTTTGCCAAACTCTGCTCAAGTAGGCTCTAAACTTGTGAACTAAAGCCAAGAAATGTCTGAGGTTAGAAATGAACTGCTTTACAAGAGCCGTGCTCGGAAGCCTCCGGTAGATCCACTAAATAGTATGATTTAGCAGATACAGCAGGAGTTATATCATTCCTAATCCCCCTTCTTATGCTTATGGCCAGTTCTTTGCAGAACACCTATGATGAACTACTTAAGCACCAAGCCGCTTTCCGTTTAATACAATAATGATCTCATTGTATATCCTCTGTTCAGTGCATGAGGATCAAAAGAAAGATCTCCTGGATTTAGCTCTCCAGTCAAAATATTCATACAGGCAAGGGATAAATAAGCAGGAAAAGTATAGGACTTACACAAACACGGGGAGGCTGGTACATACTGAGTTTACCTGCTATAGCTAGATTTCAATGCATTTTGCAGTGCTTAGTAACTGAGTACATCATTTTATGAAAATGTGTTAAGTTCTGACTAAGTTAGGCCTGTAAACTAAGTTAATGGGAGATAATATCATCTGTATTTCCTTGCTGGTTCTTCAGGTGTCATTGCATGCCCTCTTTTGCCTTTCCATAGACATATTATGGAAAATAATTCATTTTAAAAGTTCTCAACATCCGAAAAAAGTTTAAAAAAGTAAGCAAGACAGATGAAAATCATTCTTTCTAATGATACTAGAAATTGGGGACGATAGGGAGGCAGTGATTCAGAAACTGAAAAGCAATGTATTCATCTTGTGGAAATTCAGAGAAGTCTTCTCTTGTACCAACAAGAATTTAAACAAAAAAAACCAACCCACAACCACAAGTAAAAACAAACCTCAAAAGACTCTTCAATAAGTGAAAGGAGACAGCAATATAAGAATGAGCTTTGTGAAGGTCAGCATCTTCAAAATACTTTAGCAGAACTTTCAAACTTACAAGTTTCATCTTATTTTGTAGGTGTATGAAAATATGAAAGACATGATGTTCCAACCTCCTTTTCAAATTTAATTAGTTTCTAAATCTCATAAAATATCCCATTTGCAATGTATAAATACCAAGTCTATCATTTAAATGCAATAATCTCTGAAATAGAATAAGATGGTAAACAACAGATTCTTATTTCAGCCACAGCAGCACACAGGAACAATACATGCCCTGAAACTAGGATAGGGGACAAAAAAATCTGTTGGCTGAAGCACCTTCCCTATAAAAACAAGCTGATAGAATTGGGGTTGTTCAGCCTGGAGAAGAGAATTAGATATTAGGAAGAAATTCTTTGCTGTGAGGGTGGTGAGACACTGGAACAGGTTGCCCAGAGAAGCTGTGGCTGCCCCATCCCTGGAGGGGTTCAAGGCCAGGCTGGATGGGGCTTGGAGCAACCTGGTCTGGTGGGAGGTGTCCCTGGTCGTGGCAGGAAGGTTGGAACTCGATGATCTTTAAGGTCCCTTCCAACTTGAACCATTTTATAGTTCTATGATTCTATGAATTGCAGAGGATAAACTTGGGCATGATGTTCCAACCTCCTTTTCAAATTTAATTAGTTTCTAAATCTCATAAAATATCCCATTTGCAATGTATAAATACCAAGTCTATCATTTAAATGCAATAATCTCTGAAATAGAATAAGATGGTAAACAACAGATTCTTATTTCAGCCACAGCAGCACACAGGAACAATACATGCCCTGAAACTAGGATAGGGGACAAAAAAATCTGTTGGCTGAAGCACCTTCCCTATAAAAACAAGCTGATAGAATTGGGGTTGTTCAGCCTGGAGAAGAGAATTAGATATTAGGAAGAAATTCTTTGCTGTGAGGGTGGTGAGACACTGGAACAGGTTGCCCAGAGAAGCTGTGGCTGCCCCATCCCTGGAGGGGTTCAAGGCCAGGCTGGATGGGGCTTGGAGCAACCTGGTCTGGTGGGAGGTGTCCCTGGTCGTGGCAGGAAGGTTGGAACTCGATGATCTTTAAGGTCCCTTCCAACTTGAACCATTTTATAGTTCTATGATTCTATGAATTGCAGAGGATAAACTTGGGCTGATGACACTGACAGTACATGACAATAATGGTGACACAGCAGATGGGTTCATTGGGTCTTAGTGGCATCACTGACTGTTGATAGGCCTATGAAACTTGCCACAGACATGTCCATGGACTACTTGAGTTGGATCCAAAATTCTTGTGGTAAATGGAGAAAATGAGAACGTAGTGCAGCGGACAACAGTTATAATCGCCATTTGAGATCTGTGCTGAATTGATTCTCATTCCAAGTTTAGTCAATGCAGTGGAGGGTCAAGTTTCTGTATATGTCAAGTTCATGGTGAGAGCATATTTGAAGAAAAATGTTGACACAGGCTTAAGCTCACGACTCTTTTAAAGTACAAATAAACAACTGCTGGGGATTTGGCACTGCTATTAGCAACCTAAAGAAACCATTCTTTAGGTCTTCGGCTAAAGAAACTTCTGACACTTGTGATCAGTTACATTTTGACAGCAGCATCACTTTGGTGAATATTTTGCCTGAAGCAGGCCAGCTGCACTGAGGTAGATTTCCTATGTGAATGAAGCTTTGCATTTATTATTTTAATTATTAAAATTGTACAGTTAAGCTTGCGTCATGTTCTATCCAGTGCTTCACTGACAACTCATGAAATGAAATGAAATGCATTCTATGCCAAGCTTTGCACGCTACAAGAGTTAAATAAGCACATACCTGTAAATGTATGCTTTGTCCAGAATAGCTTCCAAACGATCATTAAATTCAAAGAATGTGTTATGCTGAACGGAAAACAAATTAAAATAATCCAATCACTATTCTTCACCACACATCTTTTCCTAATAGTACTGACATTAGTTCACATATACATCTTGAAAACAATGGATTTTTCAGTAGTCTGACTTTCTTTAAACATTTAACCAAAAGGTGAACTGCAAAGCAAAGATGAAAATTGAGTTAAACACTGCTTTGGATGTTGAATGTTCCATTAATCTGACTGTAGAAATAGCTTTGCTGTTTAGGTCAGACTGCTGCAGATGAATGACTTCTGTTTCCTCAAAGATGAGTAGTTGCTTGGGCAGCTTTATCAGAGAGAATTACACGCATGAAAATCCCTTTTTACTCTTTCTGAAATTCCAGGAATTCTCAGTAACCGATCATAGGTATCAACAACCTCATACTGGACAATTAGTAACAACTGCTGCTATATCGAATTCCTCCTGTTAATTATTTGTAGTTTAACTTTAGCTATAGCCCTTCATATTCACATATATTTTTTTTTTCTTTGCATTTGTTCAGTACATATCTGTTTGCCTAATACGAGGTACTCTTTAACTTCTCATCCTTTCATAGTGTTTTGGTTCTGATTTATGGAATTTTGAAGCTTTGTTGAAAACTGAAGTGAAGAGCACCCTCATTTAATTCTCAGAGTTCTTTCTTAGAGTAAAGTTGGGGAGTTCTTCTCTTCAACTTTCAATGAAAGCCAATTCTTTGTCAACGTATTGCTTGTATTTAGCCATAGAATGGTAAGGGACCACGGTACCAACTGCTGGGTACCATGAAATGCAGGGATCCCTTCTCAGCCCCTTCATTGCCCAGCACCGGGTGTCTTTGGAACTGATAACAAAAGTGGGTTTAAGATTGTTAAGTATGCTGGGTATAGTTTATGCTTTCCTTAAAATTCCCTCCTTTGCTTTTAAGCACCTGACATTACCAACAGACAATGAAAACACATTTTCGTGATCTTTGAAAACTAAGCAGGTAATTGAGAATTTAGAATAATCCAATTTCAATAATGGAAACAGACCAGTGTTAATCACAAAACACCTTTCGAAAGCAGGAAATAATGAAGTCAGAAGAAAAATAAGAGAATAAGGGCTTCATTTGGCTAGATTATATCTTGTATTTTTTGTCGGTTTGTTTACTGATTTATCTTATGCTGAAGATATTTTCCAATTTCTAAATTTCATATTCCTACATATTATAAACAACTTTCCATTGGGTTATAAAAGCATTTTTGTGCAGCTAGCCATCCATCACTAACACAGATCTTACCTTTAGCATCCTATTTGCTCTAAATGCTGGGTTAAATCCAAAGAAAAAGTATAAAACTTCAAACGGCAATACTGATATCACATCGAGCTGTTGAAGAGCAGAGAGGGCAATTTAAACTTCACAAGAATCATAATGCATTTACTTGCTGTCAAAAACCTCCTTAGATGGAATCATGATTGAGTATAATATCTGAACAGTCAGCATGCTAAGCCTGTAACTTCCAAAGTACTGGCAGGCAAGATTATCTCTTTGAAAACACCAGCAGCTTTGCTCTGCCCTGCTTCTAAGTCCCCTGTGCCTGAGGTTTTCATCTGTTTCGTGGGGTTTATTAACAGTATCTCAGATATTTGACTACTTATACATTCTGTTATTTCAATTACAGCTCTGACAAGACTACAGTGGTAGGCAGGTGGCTGGTGTGTGGAGATGGGGAGAGCACTCCACAAGCACTTCTCAGTAGCCCTACGGCTTTTCAAACCAGGCTGCCTGAAGTGATCTGGGGGAACATGATGATTTAGACTCCTGGTTTCCAATCAGAAGTCATGTGTTCCAAACAACAGATTCATGGTAGGATGGCAAGTTCAGATTTTTTTTCTTCTTTTTAACAGATACTGTCTTTTGCTATATTTGGATGCTTCTCTTTCCCATACCACTAAGATTTTCAACATCCCCCTTGCAGCACATCGCTGCCTCATTACTTTTCTTATCCGCCTACTTTATTCTTTCCAAGAATTCTGTGGAGAGAAGGAAAGCTGTGGCAAGCTTGGCTTTGCCTTTTGAAAGACCTTGTGATGCCTTGCTCTGTTACTGATATCCTTTGGGAACCAAAGAGGGATGTGGAACTCTCAGCTTCATCCCACTGTAACCAGAAATGCCTTCGCCCAGGGAGACATAACTTGTGTTGGCAGCAACTAGTCTGCAGCACTGACCTTTCATTGCATGCACATAAGATGCAGTTAATACCTGAACTCTGTGAAAACCAAGCCAAAAGTCTGATTGAGGACATACAACCTTCTCTCCCTCTCTCAGACACATGTCTAAGAGGAGGCAAAATTTAGTCAGAAGTGCTTTAATATCAGTAACTCTTAATTAGTACTTAATCACATGTCAAATTCCCAGATTATATCTATATCTTGCACATGGTGAGAACACTCAAGTCTCAGTTTCAGTCAACTCTCATCAGTTTCTGCAGAAATCAAGAGCACTAAACATACTTTAAGTGTGAACTTAAAACTATACATATCCACTTAGATCTCCTGCTGTAAGTTTGACTCTGTCCTACTTACTTGCCTGTATAGTGTATATCCTGCACTTTTGGATAGCTTAACCTCAAGTATCTAAGTAGTAACACCACAAGCATTGAGACAAATCTAACTCTGAAACGAGGCAGGTGCAAAAGGATTTACAGGAGAGGAGGGGGCAATAGCTGAGATATCAGAGATGTGGGCACAGTGTCACAAAGCTGGATGTGTATCAGGTATTCAATAGACTACCTATCCTCTGTTGGCAAAAACAATATCCAGGAACAAAATTAAGATTTTTCCTAAATCAAATGCATCTTTGTTTTTACAAAGTGCAATGAGCATCAAAAAAATCTTAATTTGAATTTTTTGTTTACTTGTGTGAGTCATGACCTATTTAGTACCACACATGGGAGTTAACCAAATAGAGTTATCCTATGACTTCAAGAGTTTTTAAATCTCTGGCAAATTGTGCTATTGTCTTTCAGTGTGTGTGTGGATCACCTTGAACAAATTCATCAAACCAGTGAATTTAATGAATTCTATTTTATGTATTTATTATTATTCAGAATTAATATTTACAACTGCATTTATAATTATTCTGTTCTTCAATTAAACACTGTATATAAAGATGGCAATCTTCAGCTGGTGAGCACTGACATGCCATCAAGCCAGTGCTTTCTGGTGATGTTCTGAAACCAACAGTGATTTTCAGTGAACGAAAAAAATTCTGCGAAATCCTACAGCCTTACGTGAATGTGTAACTCACATATTCACATCAGTAACACAGGCTCTGCTCACCCGAAACTTCGTAGAGCTGTGGTAGAATTTCTTCATTTCCACTCTGTCTGACTAAAGTGATAACAAAAAGAGAAAAAGGCATAGTGAAGAACAGAATGTGAAGAATGAGCCTCTACTACTCGACAATAATAATGATAATAATTCTCTTCTGATAGTAGGGATGATGACAGTAAATAATGGTCTAAAAGTATGCATGGAGGAAGTAGTAGTTTTATTAGACCAGTTTACATTTTATCAGATTTTATGAGACCTACTTTAAAAAATCAGGTTTGTGGTTTGTCTGATTTTTTCCAAGACTTGCTGTTCGTCTAGCAGTGTGTGTCACGTTTTTGCTACAGATCTTCCCTCTCAAGACATCTCTACCAGTTGGTGCTTGATCCAAACCCCTTCCATTTCAGGGCCAAAAACTCCATTTGACTTCAGTGGTTCCAAGAAAAATGCAAAGAATGTTTCTGCTGGTGTTGTACAAATTTAGCTCTTTGAAAGCTAGCATTGACACGCTAGCATTATTAGCATTATGATAATCAACACCGCATTCATTAGTAATGATTAGCTATTTATTTTTAAATTGCTCTCCACGGGAACCGATGCTAATACCTTAATAAGAAAGGGTAATCACAAGTATCTAAAGAAATGTATCTATTATTATACTTTCTGGGTTTATAACAGGGACACTTTAAAAATAGCTTTAAAATTGTACGGATATTTCCATGCCACCTTTGCACTCTTATCATTTTAACCATTAAACTAAATGCAGGAGATCAGGCAGCAGATGATCTCCTCAGGCACTAAAATCTATGAATTGTACAAACAGCTTCAAGAGAAGTACATGGTAAACTTCCTACACTAGAGTTTTAACCTTATTCATAAAACTTGAGTTTTGTAGGATTTAGGCAACATTGCCAGTTACTGAATGTCTTGGTGCAGAAAAATACATTACACTGCGCTGCATTAATATCTATCCAAACTATATTTGCACAGTTTTATCTGAGATTCCTTTATAAAGGTATCAGTAATATCTTGTATGCACAATGTATAAAATGTTATGTAAAAGCACTGAACTAAAGCTAGTTCCAAATTAAATTTGAGGATATATAATGTTGGATTTTCTCTCTATTGGGCACAGTAATGTCACTGAAGTAACCTAAACTAATTTTTTTCCACATTAGATTTTTTAAGTTAAAGAACAAAAAGTAGAGAAGATTTTAAAGAAAAATTAATGTTGCAGATGCCCTTTTGGTATACAAAGGGCAATCTTTACCTTTTTTAAGATACTTGCTTAGAGTTTTATTTTCCATTTTTCTATAAAAGATAACACAGAAATCGTAGCAAGAAACAAAATTGAACGTACATACGTATATGTACAAAATATCTCAAATAAGTTATCTTCAAAGGATCCTGAAATTAAAGGAATTTGTTCTGATTTTGGCAAAAAAACCCCACACTCTCACCCTCTGTAACAGAACACACATATCCTGTGCATTGCAAGCAGAATATGCGCTGTCTTCAAGTATGATTCCTGCACAAGGTGAATGACAAGCTGAAAGCTTCACACAAACATGCAAACACGTGCACACACGTATGGGTCCACAGATTCCAGGGAAGCAGCCTCCAATGGCATGACTGGATAGACAGATGGAGGGAGAGCAGATGTTGTCTACCTTGACTTCAGCAAGGCTTTCAACACAGTCTCCCACTGCATCCTCACAGGTAAGCTTAGGAAGTGTGGGTTAGATGAATGGACAGTGGGGTGGATTGAGAACTGGCTGAAAGACAGAGCTCAGAGGGTCGTGATGAGGAGCACAGAGTCTAGTTGGAGGTCCATTCCAAGTGGTGTTCCCCAGGGGTCAGTACTGGGTCCAGTCCTCTTCAATATATTCATCCATAACCTGGATGAGGGGAGAGAGTGTGAGGGGACCCTCAGCAAGTTTGCTGCTGACACAAAACTAGGAGGGGTGGCTGACACCCCAGAAGGCTGTGCCACCATCCAGAAAGACCTGGGCAGACTGGAGAGTCGGGCAGGGAGGAACCTGATGGAATTCAACAAGGGCAAGTGTAGGGTGTTGCACCTGGGGAGGAATAACCCCCTGCACTGGTACAGGTTGGGGGCTGACCTGGTGGAAAACAACTCTGTGGAAAAAGACCTGGGAGTCCTGGCAGACAACAGGATGATCATGAGCCAGCAATGTGCCCAAGAAGGCCAATGAAATCCTGGGGTCTATCAAGAAGAGTGTGCCCAGCAGGTCGAGGAAGGTCATCTTCCTCCTCTACTCTGCCCTGGTGAGGCCACATCTGGAGTACTATGTCCAGTTCTGGGCTCCCCAGTTCCAGAAGGACAGGGAACTGCTGGAGAGGGGACAGCAGAGGGCTACAAAGATGGTGAGGGGCCTGGAGCATCTCTCTTATGAGGAGAGGCTGAGGGACTTGGGTCTTTTTAGTCTGGAGAAGAGAAGGCTGAGGGGGGATCTGATCAATGCTTATAAATACTTAAAGGGAGTCAGGAGGATGGGGCCAGGCTTTTTTCAGTGGTGCCCAGGGACAGGACAAGAGGAAACAGGCACAAACTTGAACATAGGTGACTCCATCTGAACATGAGAAAGAACTTCAAAGGTGGCTGAGCACTGGAACAGGCTGCCAAGAGAAGTGGTGGAGTCTCCTTCTCTGGAGACATTCAAAACCCGCCTGGACATGTTCCTGTGAAACCTGCTCTGGGTGGATCTGCTCTGGCAGGGAGGTTGGACTAGATGATCTCCAGAGGTCCCTTCCAACCCCATATCATTCTGTAGTTCTGTGATTCTGTGATTCTGTGATTTACTCTTGATAAGAAAGAGCTTTATGCCTGTTCTGATTGCTCTCGCGTGTTACTTCCAAAACTGTTTTTAACTTTTTTTAAGAATGTAGACAATGTCTTCCAAATTAGGATAATGGAAGGTCAGTGAAGAAGAACACAGGTATCCTTTGATTAATAAAAAAGTTACATAGATTTGAAACAGCAGGAAAAAATGGGTCAGATTAGAACTATAATGTACTTTAACACACAACTACTACCCCCTTGCAATACTTACTATTATATCTCCACCTTTTAAAAATTGCACTCGGGGCTGGAAAATCAGTAAGTCACACAGGTAGCAGATGTCACAAATGACGTCCACGGCAAACCAATATATTGTATTACTCGGGGTTTGATAGGGAAACACAAAGCGAAGGGGAATAAACCAGCAATTCCAATTATAGGCGACTGTCACAAGCATGAGCCACGCTACGTAACGGCGATCTGAAAGAAAAAGCATTCAATTTACTGCCAGGAACTTGGAATCTTTTCTCATTCTTTTAGATACATTTATTCTATTCTGCAGTCTCTGGGAATGTTTCTGCTCAGAGCAAACTACCATTTGTCCTTTTCCAACGGCACAGGCTGCTGAAGTGATACAGCTTGGAACCAGGAGTCACACAAAGAATTTGCAAAAGGGAAAAAAGATAGGTTTATGAGAGCATATAGAATTTAATGCATCTGAAGAAATGATATATTTTGCATGCTCCTGGTGTATGTTACAACTGACAAAAGAATTATTTAGCCCTCATCAATGGAACAAGTTCTAGATCAAGAATCAGAAGACTTGGTTTTTAATTGTGGCCGATTTGCATATCATAGAATCATAGAATCATTGAGGTTGGAAGAGACCCTTGGGATCATCGAGTCCAACCATCTACCCTACTCTACAAAGTCCTCCCCTACACCTGAGGGATATGGTGTAGGGGATCTTATTGCATACCATCTTTTCAACTGTTATCACTTTTCCTGTCTTTTCCCTGTTTGGAATAAATGTGTTTTGGGGCAGGATCTGTGTGTCCCTCTGAGTTGCAAACTGGAATGTGAATTTTATGGTGACTCAGGGGTACTATGTAATAGCAGCCCACTTCAATATGCCTTTACCCCATTCTACTGCACAGCTTTGAACTCACCTGTGTAGGAGTCTATGCTCTCTGGTAGTCGCAGATACTCCATGTATTTTTTCAGTGGAGGTTTTTTGAATTTGCAGCACAGCATGTCGCAGTAATGATCCTCCTCTGGCTTTGCTTCTGCATCCTCTTTCTTTTCTTCTTTTTTTTCTTCTTTTGGTGGGGGTGGAGGTGGCTTCTTTGACGGTGCTAGTCACAGAATGGCACAAAGGGTGACATCTTCATAATGGCTCAGTTACTACACCCTGTTTTAACATGTAGCCTCATCATGTTAAAAACTCCTCTAAAAACAACTGGCAACAACTAAAGCTACAGTTCTTTATAATACCATGTTAGAAAACAGACTGAAGAATAAAATCACCACTGATATCATCATGTACATTTTCTATCAAGAACAGTGCACTTCATGTTACAGAGTACAATATATATATTACTGTGTTTCCTTGGATAGCACCCACAAGTAATGCCATAAAACACCGATGAGGAATAAGGTCATTCATAACTCAGCATTCATTAATGTCCCTGGCTATGTGTTTTTACAGGACTGTTGCAAATAATGCTTATGGTTAGGATAGAAATGAGAAAAGATGTCTGTTCCATGGGCTGATCTCTTCCCTCTCCTGAGAACTGATATGCAAGATGCAGCATGTGAAACTAAGGGGAAGCCTATGGTTTTGTATGTTTCTAGGCTTACAAAAGTCTTGTGGCACTCTTTTGAGCCCAATTCTTCCATGTTTGGGCCAGATAATTTTTTCCATTAATTTATCCCATTAATTCTGGTGGCTTTACCCCTGAGTAGGATACACAGTCCCAGCAGTAAACTGGGATCTATAGTGATTTAGGAAATAAATGATTGCAAGTTCTACAAAGAGAGCAAAAGGGGTAAATGAGCAAAGAAATATATATTTTTTTTAAAATGTAATGCCTTTATCAGCTGGCATAGTTTATAACACCTCACTATTTTTTCCAGCTTATTAAAAGCCAGGTAAGCAATAAAGAGCTTCTCAAATATGTCAAAATATAAAATCACCACATCAAATTCTTTGTGAAAGGGAAAAAAAAAACAAATCAAGCTTTTCTCTAAAGAGAGGAAATACTGTATTTGTTTTATGTTTCCTGTTTTTTCAAAAGTAAATGTTTAATTAATTTCAGATGAGTTTGCTCTGTTTGAAGCATGTACTTAGAGTCCTCAATGTGTCTGGAAGATTGCTGCTATCTCTAAAATGTTCCTTACTTCTATACAGTAAATCTAATCTCAGAATGACTGATATCTACTCATAAGATAGATATGTTTCTTGGTATGTTTCAGATTCATCTGCATGAATAAATATACCTGAGAGCTACTTAAAGTACATAAAACTAGTTGACAGGGATGTTTCTAGACATTGCCCAAGACCTTTTCCCCAAATTCTTTTGTGATGTGGTCCAAAAGGAGCTTGTACCCAAGGACGTGGTTTATTGTAGACTAATAAAGATAAATTGACTTCACTGAGCACATAGTGATCCATTTCAGTGGGTAAACATGCTATACACTTGAAAATTTTATCACAGTATATTCTATTCCCATAAAATAATTTTCATCTTTAAACTCAGCAAACGGACAGCTATTTCTGGAGTCACTTACAAGCTGTAGGACTGCCTTCAGGGGAGGACAGCACAGGGTCTTTCAGCTTTTCCTTATAGACTGTTGCCCTTTCACGCATTTTTCTGACAATCTCTTGAAGCTGGGCGTCAGCATACTCATTTGTTTGGAAACCTGAAGGTTTCCGTGTTCTAGTTAAAACAAAAGGAAAAAGGGTTAATATACTGAAAAATTCCGTATGGAAGAATCGTCTAGGTTGGAAGGGACCCATGAGATCATCTAGTCCAACCATCAACCTAACTCTGACACAAACGAAAAAAACCACATCACTAAACCATGTCACTAAGCACCATGTCAACCCATCTTCTGAATATCTCCAGGGATGGTGCCTCAACCACTTCCCTGGGCAGCCCATTCCAAGGCTTAATACCCCTTTCAGTGTAAACATTTTTCCTAATATCCAACCTGAACCTCCCCTGGTGCAACTTGAGGCCATTTGCTCTTGTCCCATCACCTGTGACTTGGGAGAACAGACCGACCCCCACTTTCAGGGAGTTGGAGACAGCGAGAAGGTCTCCCCTCAGCCTCCTTTTCTCCAGGCTGAACACCCCCAGCTCCCTCAGCCTCTCCTCACAAGACTTGTTCTCCAGACCCCTCACCAGCTTTGTTGCCCTTCTCTGGACCTGCTCCAGCACCTCAACACTTTTCACTAAGTTCTACTCTGCCCAAATAAGGCCTAGAGCTTATCCTGTGCATTCACTAAGATACAAGGCATGCTCTTACCATCTGTGCATAAAAATGTGCTCATTATTTTATGGTAATATTCTAATAAAGACAGGGCGTAACTGAGTTAAACACTGATGTGCAGGTAGAGGAGGAGAGACTATACTTACTTTATATTTCCTGATCTTGGGAAAATTGATTTAATCTCATTTTTGCAATGGATATCAGCTAATGAGAGGTAAAATAGATGTTTTACTAAGTGGAAGCAAACCACTGGTGTTCCTGCTGAAGCTTCTTCTGTTTCCACTAAGAAGTTCCCCATTCCATGCTTACTCAGGGCCATAGTAACACTGAGCTGGTTCTGGTGCTCACAGCATTTCTTCAGACCTGAGGACTGTTCATTTTCAAGCACCTGCATTCTCACATTCTAACGCTTTTAATAGGATCTCTGCATACTGCGCAGTCAAACAGAAAATCCAGCTGAAGGTGTTTCTTGACCAACTCTTTTGAAATTTCATCTTCAGTTAGTTGCTAGTATCTATTATGCAGACTGGAGCTGCTTTGAGGTGCCACCTAGCTGGCAGCTGGGCCATCTGTTTGAACCTCCTCTATGTGGATATAGGATATAGGATACAGGATATAGGATTTCTTCTGTAGTCTAGACCCAACACTTTTCATCTTGTGTCACACACCAGTGTCAGAGCTGTGACTGGTGCAGGGCAGCTTGAGACCTCCTCCCACACATGTCAAAACTGCCACCCCTGTACCAAAACCCTGCCAGCTATGCCCAATACAGGGAGTCCAGCAGAGAATCGTTCTCTCTTTCTTCTCAATTTTTCAGCTCTGACCCAAATAACATGGGAAAGTGGATGTCACAGCAAGAGAAGAAGCAGACCAAGAATGAGGCATGCCTGAAATTTCCAGATTCTTGAGAAGAGCTTCCCAAAGATGAGTACAGAGAAAGTGATATGACAGCATCTTCAGTAGGGAAGAAATTAAAAACACTCCAAGTGATCTTTGAATAACCACCATGTCTCCTCAAGACCTAAACCTACTTTGAAGTTCCTAACAGAAGGAGCTGTAACTAAAAAAGGAGAGTGTCAGAGTGGGATGCGTGTAGCTTTTTGAGAAGCACAGTCTTCTGGAGACACATATCACAGTGCCCAAGGAAGTATAATTTAAGGATGTGAAAATCCTTCAGCAATAAAACCATTGGATAAAATGGAGATAAGCTGTTAAAAGCAGAAGAAGCAGAAGTCTGGAAGTATGTGCTTATCATTCCTCCAATTTAAGTCTTCTGTAGTGTCTATTTCTTAAAACTCCCTAGACAGGAGATTAATCAAACAGTTCTGATATACTTTGTAATCTCATCACAGTTCCTTTTATGTCACATATTCCCTTTGCTCAGGCCATCTGCAGTGTAATGAAATCCTTTCTTGTTTTGAGCTAACATGTCACAATTAGTTTTTCAGCTTCCATGCAAAGAATTCAAATAAGTCTTACTCTTTGCTGTTGCTGTATTTGCTCAGGGCATTAGCTATCTTATAGTGAAATACACTTATCACAAGTGTCATGCCAAAGGCCCCTTCTATCAGCTTTCCAGGGATAAGCTATAAGATGTGGGGGATTTTCTTGTTATTTCACAGCCTTTCCAATAGAAGTTAAAGTCTCCTCTATCATAAATTTGGTGCTTTATCATTGCAGTGTAGCCCAAAGGAACCATGTTGTTATTTGGTACTGATTAGAAACTATGTGAATCTGTTTAAAGCTATTTGCCCCACAGTTGATGAGAAATTGATTTTCCTTGCCCTACTTCTCATTTGGTTTGCATTATCTTCTGCATTATTTTCTAGTAATGAAATGCTTTCTTTAGATTTTCTCTGGTTAATACCGATGGAAGAGGCTCTTTTTGTTTGGCGATGTTTCTTTCACTATGTGTGTGCTCTATCATGTGGCAAAATTTTATTCACTCTATTAGTTTATGTTTTATAAATTCATATACACAAGCACATCGCTGTCAGCAGAACATGGCAACCAGAAGGAACAAGAGTACATTTTCCAGGTCAGAGACCCTGCTAAGGTAATTGTCTTTAAAGAGATCACATTTATTAATTTTAATTTGTCTGTCATACTACACGCAATGTTTTCTGGTTCTGATTTGCTGCTCCTCAGACTTTCAGACCTTGTGCCTGTGAGAAAGGTTAGTTTGACTTCTTTTTTTAGCATGTTCTGTTGAGGAGATGATAATGCCTCATTTTGAATCCATAAATATGTTCATTCTCACCTCACAGTTACAATTGCAAACTATATTGATTTCATACTGGGCTCTATTTGGCTTTATTCTCTGCAGGAAAGGTCTCGGGGGGTGATCAAACTTATGGGTATGGATCAACTCCTGGTTCGTCTCTGTCTGTGTCACGTATCTGAATAGTTTGTGCCATACAGGGGCAGATCTGCACAGTCAGAGGTAAATCTGCTCCCTCACTAACACGCTGCTTAGCTGGGCAGAGTCACAGAATCACAGAATCTTCTAGGTTGGAAGGGACCTTAAAGATCATCTTGTCCAACCGTCAACCTGACTGACAAAAATAGACACCCACACAACAAACAAGAAGCATCACCATCACTAAACCAGACCTCCCAGCACTACATCAACCCCTCTTTTGAACACCTCCAGGGAAAGAAAGATGCTTTGCCTTTGCTTTCCCACTCTGAGCTGTGCTGAGTGCTAGGATTTGTCTCTAAGCTGATATATTATTATTTAGGCAGATATTTAGGCATATTATTAAGTTTATCTCTGACCTTTGGACAATACAATAGGCCTAGGTCTGTATTATTTACTACACCATCTAGTCCTTTACAGAGGGGAAATGTTTATTCCCTGCAGAAGTAATAATTTCACATGGTCAAGGGAATGAAAAAGTCAGGACCACAACTCACATAACCACGCACACAGTTTTGTTATTTCTGCAAACACGTTTTGTTCAACAATAGCAACATGGGTAACACTGGAAGTACAATAACAGCCTAGTTTTCTTATGTTTTTAATTTGTAGTCTTTATTGCTTTAACTTGTAGTTCTTGTTTGTTTAGTGAATAAAATAACAGTGCCTTAATTCTCCTTATGCCGTGAGAAAAGATTTAGACACCTATAGCACAGTGAAAGAAAATGGCCTTGAAAGAATGAGCCATGGAAACACTGTGTTGAGTGTGCTAATGTATGTAACATCTGTTAAGTACCGTGGCTTTGAAGTTTCCTCTGTCAAGAGTACAAACAAAACAGGGATCAAGAAAAGTAATAAGCTATTTCAGAATAAATTCATTTTACCCTTTTCTAAGTGGCAATTTAAAGTTTAACTCTTTCTTGCTTTTTGGTGAACACCAAATACCTGGGTTCACGTTCATCTTTTACCTACTAGGTGATCCCTAAGGAAATATATTTCATAAATGTATGGTGCTGCCTGAAAAAAATCCGTAATACTTTTTGCTGATTTCAGTTTTAACCCTTGTTTTTGCAGCAGTTTCCTCCAGACTACCTGGAAATACAACTCTTGATCTTGCAACAGAACTTTAAATGTTTTTATTGAGCACTGACGTTATGATTTATGACTGTATCTTGAAAAAATAATTTGGTGTCTTGAATAAATTATGGAGAATCCCTAATTCAAATAACCAATTTTCAGGAGGATGTGACAATGCATAGCTATACAAATGGCCACGAAACATGGTGGTATAGCTAAGAAAGATTTCAGTGAGACAGCAAAATATAGTTCTAGGCATCATGAAAGGTATTGATTGAAAAACACGTCCTCAATTTGTGCTGACAATCCCTGTGTGGCTTATTCTATAGAAACCAGAACCCTCTATCTGTCCCCGGTTCCAAGTCTAAGCCCACACACCCTAAATGACTAGAAAACCTAATGTTTCTCTGTAAAAACAACAACAAAAAAATGTTGGTCATCTGCTTGGTACAAGAAAAGGGGTGTTCCAAAAAGCTAACTCTAGCTACTCTGATTCTGTTCTCTTTATAGTCAATGGGAGGCTTCTCTGAGGAGAGGTTCTTTAGCACCAAAGTGCTAAGAACTTGAGTTTCTAATATAAATATATCATCTCACAGTCTCGAAAAAGCCTGTTGACATGTTAGAGCCCATGGAATTTCAAAAAGCGCTTAATTAAGTTTTAATTTTCATTACCAGTCTTGAAACTTCATCTGCCCCATCGTCTCCTCTTTTAAGAGGGAAAGTGTTTGAGAGAGACACATCTTTAGTGATCCAGAAGATTAAGTCTTTCTCTATTTGCTGCATTGTTTGAAATACGGGCAGTATATTAACTTTTCTTTCCATTAAAGTAGAATAAAATACATTTTTATTTTCATTCTATTGTAGGATTGAGTTATTCTCCACAATGCAGTTTGAATTTAAACTGATGTTACGTATGTTCTCCTATCTATATTCTTGCCTATTTCATTA